GATCCTCCTCCTTCCCTTTTTTAAAGATGGGCACTACATTAGCTTTTTTCCAGTCATTCGGGACCTTCCCCGACCGCCATGAGTTTTCAAAGATAATGGCCAATGGCTCTGCAATCACATCCGCCAACTCCTTTATCACTTTCGGATGCTGCGCATCCGGCCCCATGGACTTGTGCTCGTCCAGCTTTTCTAAATAGTCCTGAACCACTTCTCTCTCCACAGAGGGCTGCTCACCTCCTCCCTTGTTGTGCTGCCCAGTGCAGCAGTCTGGGAGCTGACTTTGTTTGTGAGTAAAGTATCCAGAAAGAAGCTGGTCAGTGGTGTGTTTCAAAGCTCATGGAGCAAACTAGAGCACAGGCTCATCAGCGAAGTGTTAGCTACTGGAGCGGGTGACCAAAGGCCATTGCCAGTCGCTGCCGACTATAGTGGGCGGCTTTTGCAGTTCTGTTTATTGTGTTCCAGCCATCTGAGCTAGGAACACACACATCATTTTTTTTATAATTGGGATTTAAAATTTATTCCTGAAGGCCGAAAACTTTTCTTTGTGTAATTGAGGACTGAGAATTGGTCATGACCCATGGAAACTTAATTAAACTTTAATTAAAATGGTTGAATATAATAAATTTATAATAAGATTATTTCCATGGGTTAAATATAACTGAGATGAGTAAATACATATTTCCCTTTTTTGCCTATAACTTTAAGGTGGCTCCTTCATATGTGGTAGCTCATTAGTAAACTTTGAATTGTGTTTGGTCTTGGTCCAGATCCTAGAAGACAAGTAGTTTCAGTGGGTAGATGATAATTGGCTGTGGAGATTGAACTACCTTTTCACCCTTATGGGTGATCCCTCCCTATCAGGGTTAAAGCGTGTTCTCAGGAATCTTGCACTTCTGCTAGTTCTGTACTTGTTCTGTAGATGAACACAATTTCTACCAGTATAACTATTTCATTTGGGTGTGTGTGTGTGTTTGTTTTTTAAATAAAATAAATATATCAATACAAAATCTATGTGCATACCAGGCCCTAGGTCAGGGATGGGCAAACTTTTTGGCCTGAGGGCCACATCGGGTTTCCGAAATTGTATGGAGGGCCAGTTAGGGGAGGCTGTGCCTCCCCAAACAGCCAGGCATGCCCCTCCCCCCCCCGCTTCTTGCCCCCTGACGGCCCCCCTGGAACCCCTGCCCCATCCACCCCTACCTGTCCCCTGACCGCTCCCCGCCGCCCCATTGAACCCCTCCTCTCATTCCTGACTGCCCCCCTGGGACTCCTGCCCCATCCAACTACCCCTTCTCCCTGACTGCCCCCGGAACCCCTGCTGCCCCATCCAACTACCCCTTCCGGATTGCCCCCCCGAGACCCCTGCCCCCATTTAACCCCCCTGTTTACCGCCCTCTGACCATCCCGACCCCTGTCCACACACTCACCCCCTGACCACCACCCCAAACTCCCCTGACCTCTATCCAACCCCCCCCTGCTCCCTGCCCCCTTACCGCCCTACCGCTACAGCTGCGCCACCCAGAGCACCAGGACAGGCAGCCGTGCCGCCCAGCTGGAGCCAGCCACGCCACCGTGCAGCACAGAGCACCGGGTCAGGCTGCGGCTCTGCAGCTGCGCTGCCCGGCAAGAGTTCGCAGCCCCACTGCCGGGAGCATTGCACTGGCTGCACAGTGAGCTGAGGCTGCGGGGGAGGGCCAGGAGCTCAGGGTCTGGGCAGGAGGGTCCTGTGGGCTGGATGTGGCCCGCGGGCCGTAGTTTGCCCACCTCTGCCCTAGGTTATACCGGGGTAAAAAAAATTATGTAGACGAGCCCTTGGTCTAGGGCTGTCCTTGAGGCACTTTTCACCAGCACTAAATCCTCTCTAGCCTAAGAGAAGAAAAATCTAAAACTTTAAAAAGTACTTTCCTTCAGTTTGCTGTCTCCCTCTGAAGAAGTAATTAGTTAGTAGAGGAGTTTCACTTCATCAAATACCCTCCTTTCCTACTCAGCCTGTTGTTTTTCTTCCTCTCAGTCTCTTATATTTTATAAGATTAAACCATTTTTCAGGGATTTCAGGAGCATGTAGGCCAGAGGCGGGCAAACTTTTTGGCCTGAGGGCCGCATCAGGTTTTGGAAATTGTATGGATGGCCGGTTAGGGGGGGCTGTGCCTCTCCAAACAGCCAGGCGTGGCCTGGCCCCCACCCCCCTGCTTCTCGCTCCCTGACGGCCCCCCCCGAGACTCCTGCCCCATCCAACCCCCCTGGAACCTCAGCCCCCCTGGAACCCCTGCCCCATCCACCCTCCCTGTCCCCTGAGCGCCCCTGGAACCCCTGCCCCTGACTGCTCCCTGCTGCCCCATCCAATCCCTCCTCTCATTCCTGTCTGCCACCCCGGGACCCCTGCCCCATCCAACCACCCCTGCTCCCTGTCCCCTGACTGCCCCTGGAACCCCTGCCCCGACTGTCCCCCACTGCCCCATCCAACCCCCCCTCTCCTTCCTGACTGCCCTCCTGGGACCCCTGCCCCCATTCAACCCCCCTGTTCCCCGCCCCCTGACCACCACCCCGAACTCCCCTGCCCTCTATCCAACCCCCCTGCTCCCTGCCCCCTTACCGTGCTGCCTGGAGCACTGGTGGCTGGCGGCGTTACAGCTGCGCCTCCCAGCTGGAGCCAGTCACACAACGCGCACCACAGAGCACCGGGTCAGGCTGGGCTCTGCAGCTGCGCTGCCCCAGGAGCCCACCCCACCCCCCAGAGCATTGTGCCGGCGGCGCAGTGAGCTGAGGCTGCGGGGGAGGGGCCGGGGGCTGGCCTCCCGGGATGGGAGCTCAGGGGCTGGGCAGGAGGGTCCCACGGGCCGTAGTTTGCCCACATTTGATGTAGGCTGAGGAAGCAGTCCTGCAGTCCTCAATCAGCAAAACTCAGTGAGGCCAATAAGAATTTTAATTGAGTAAGAACAGCAGGATCTAACCCTGAATTACCTTTTCACCTCTAAGAGCAGTCCCTTGAGGGCTGTGTTGAGGCAATTTGTTGGGGGAGAGATAATGTCTGGGAAGCTTGTGACTGCTGCTGCTCTCTCTGTGGATAAATTATTGTCAGTGCTGGAAATTGAAATCCTCAGTCTGGCACTGGCTTTCAGAAACACTGAATTCACCTAGAAACAGATGAGACTAGAATAGAAGTGGAGAGCAAAATCGCATCAGTCAAGGGTGAATTTTTAATATAATCTATTTTAGCATTACTTTTGAAAATAATGTGGGCTGAAAAGCCATGAGGAAAAGCCCTTTATCCCTAAGAAATGCTCTCTGCAACCATTTATGAAGCAAAATTTAGTTCTGATTATATATTATTATAGAAACCAGTACAAATTGATGGCAATAATGGCTTCAGCCACCCATCCCCGGCCAGCAAGGAAAACAAAACCTGATATGTAAAGATCTGTCCTGTATCTTCAGCTACTTCTCTGTTTTGCAGTAACCAAACAAGATGTATAGTAAAATAAATATTCTGCTCAATGAAAGACTTTCAGATGCCTTTTTTATTTGCCTCATGACATTTGGTGCACTAAAATGTTATGAGGTAAAATGTAATGTCAGGGCCCAGAATAGCCTTGGGGGAACAGAAGAGCAGTCAGATAGCAGGGAATGGATAAATGGTGTGTAAATTCGATTGCTTAGTTGACATTTGGAAGTAAGTGTCCTAACGCTGATCCTGTTAGCCACCATGCACAGTTACTTTTGAATGTCTTTCATTTCAAAGTCTTGCGTACGAAAGGTCAGTAATATTAAGAACTCCTCTTTCCTTCAGCACATGATGTGCTGTTCATATATTGGATTTTGCGTTTTTAGCCAAGATAAATGTAAACTTCATTAACTAGAGAAAAAGGTTGGATGTATAAAATTTTCAAGGGTATGCAAAGGTTTGAGAGCCCTCCATTCCCATTGGCTTATTGGGATTTGAGGCGACTCAAGCCCCTAAAGGGGGAAATTGGAAGCAATGATTTATGGTTTGAAGCCTCAAATTTGAAATACCTAGACATGAAGAATCACAGATTCCAAATCCCACTGGAGTGACAGCCCTTGAGTCTTCTAAGAGGACTATACTGAGCTCCATGGAGTTTGGTCCTTTCCAGTAAGGATGACCTTTCCTCCCATTATTGTGCAGCATTCTACCCAGTGATTATTCAGCTGGCTGCTGCATCCTGGCCTCTGGAGTGGCTGCATTTCATTTCAGCAGTGTGTGGGTGAATTGTTCTGGCGCTCCTTCCTAAGAAGAATTCTGTGTAATGAAATAAAATATAATTAAATAGAGCCTAAGATTGATACATTGAAGGTCTTGAGATTTTTGTTATAGGAGGTTCTGTTCCGGTTGTGAATAGCTTTGAATGCCATGTCTTATGTTTGGGCCCACCGGCTGTGCTCCACCGAGCAATTATTGGCAATCCATAGAGAGCTGGGTGGCCATGATACTGGCTTCCCTTGTCTTCAGCTGCTCTTTTGAAATGTCCAGTCTCTTAATTCCAAAGAGCCAGGAAGGCTATAAAAACAGCTGGAAACCAGAAGGAGTCGTCATCCTGTAAATGAAAGGGGGACCTCTTTCAGGGGCTGGAGCTCCTAGCAGCCAATGAGAGAGGAATGTCCTGGGGAGAAATGAGGGAAGCAGCTGGCCAGTGTAAGCAGGGGAGCAGAGGGAGAGAGTGGGAAGGGGAGATGATATGAAGAGCAGAAGCAAAGGAGTGTGATTAATTTTCTTCTTAAAGGATTAAACACTTATATATATAAATAGTTGGGAAGTACTTTCCTATGGGAGCAATTCCTTTAGTTGCCGAAGTATGTTGTAAAATCACAAATGGGTGTACAGGTGTTTATGAGACAATCTCACTAATAAGATGTGGCCCATGTATGAACAATTTTAGAGCCACTGCTTAGGGATAAAGGATAGAGTCTCCTTCAGTCCTGCAGGAAATGTATTTTGATCATTTCTAACCACTTAGGTTTTTTGTTTTGTTTTGTTTCCATAGCTTGCACCATCCCTTCCGTTACAAGAAGATTTTGTTTACCACTGGAAAGCAATTACCCATTATTACATAGAGACCTCAGGTAAGAGAACTTTTTTTTTTGCATCTTCACTATGGAAAGAGGCAAACTGGAACTACCTCAGTGCTGTTTAAAAGTGAAGATTGGGAAATAGCGAAACTGTTTTCATTAAGTAAGTTCCTCTTTCTTTTTCCAAAGTAACAAAAAACATTTGTTTTAAAATATCCTTTATCTTTGATTTACCTTTGACAAAGCACCTTGATAGAGGGTGAACAACAGCGGATGTAATGCCTCATTCCCTGTGCACCTTGTTGAGAATTGTACCTTTTAAGGTCAGACCTAATTTCTGGCTTCACCTGTTCAGTTCACTCTAAACACACATCTGCAGAAATGTAATCCTTCTGATAACCCTTCTCATTTCTGTTGCATTGCCTCTTTTCCTTTTCTTTCCAAGGTTTTACCACGTCTTCACAAAATCACTTTGCAGTCATGTACACTTGAACAATCATTTCTGAAGCCAGTCAGACTTTCATAGAATGCTCAGTACTGGGCATATTTCTGTATTTTATCTTTTTAAATTTTTTTCTCAGATTGTGTCTCTCCTTAAGGTATTTTGAGACTGCAACTGTGAAAGTTCTTACAGATTTCATCCATATTTGACAGAATCAAACCAAAGTTAATTAAAACTCTAGTGTCTGCCTTCTGCTCTTCTTCATTTAATTTAAAAGCTGGCTGTTCAGTTGAATTATGGCTGTATTTGCTTAATGTAAATCACATTTCCACCATTCCAACAAATACATAAATAATTGTCCTCCTAATCACTTGTTCTAGTCTGTTGTCTTTAAAGACAAATATCACCATGCCCTATGTACTCTTATCTCTGCATGCCTATTAGAGTGGCTATCGTGTTCACAACCTCAGGACTTCTGATTTCTTGTTTAAATCAATATGTACTCAAACTGACATATAAGCATGTGTGGTGCAAAATAAAAATAAATTCAGCTTTGGCTTCTGTACTAAATATTTATTTGCAAAAACCCAAGCTTCCATTCTTGCTGCTACCTCTCCCTCACCACCACCTTCCACCAAATGAAAATCTGCAAAAAGATCTTGAAAACTATGTGTTTGGATATGCTACCTTTGAAATCAATGGAAATTTTACCTTTACTTCAGTGGGAGCAGGATTAGGTCTTAGAAGCCTTACTTCAACAAGTCAGTCTAAACTAACTGGTGACAGAGAACTGAAATTGCCCTGATGTGGCAATTCTCTTCTGTGACCTTGTTTCCTTTGGCATTCAAATGACCGTTACAGTATTTTAAAGTTATTGCATAAGAAGAAATGACTAATTCCACACTGCGTTAGTTGTCCAATTAAAATATGGCAAAATAAAAATTTGTTTCTAAATTCCTAGAAACACACCAGTGCCATACAACACCTTAGGTTAATTCCTGTTCTCAGTTACACTGGTGCAAATTCAAAGTAACTCCATGGCCTTCAGTGTAACTGAGATCAAAATCTGGCTCTTTTCCTTTATAGAGATCTGTGAGCTGAACTGTACTCTGAAATTTGAATAAAACAATACACAATCTTAACAAAGACGATGTAATAGTCATACTTAAGAATTTTTTAAAAAAATTGAACTGAGCCTGAAGTTTGGATATTCATTATTTGTGAGATTAAAAAAAATAGGCTTCTCTCTGTCTCTCACTCTTGAATGAATTGTTCAAGTGGAAATGAAGTAGATTCTGGATGCTGTCCACAGATTCCAGTCTTGGATTGTTTTGGGACCATCTGACTAGTACAGTCTCAGAAATTTAGTATTCCACACTTTTTTTTTTTTCACATTAAGGTTAAACTTCTCTAGTATCTAGTAGTCCACATTTTCAAAAGTGACCAGTAATGCTTTGTATCTATTTTGAGATACGTTAAAGAGACCTGATTTTCAGAGGCATGTGCTCAACCCTCTGGCCCCTTTAAGGTGTCTCAGGTTAGGCATTCAAAATCTCTGTTTCCCTTCTGAAAATATGGGCCAGCATATTTATGTAGATGTGAATTATCCAGTTAATACTCTCTTTACCGCTCACTGACTATGTTGTAACAATTTTTTCAGAGGGCTCTTTTAATAGTTATTTTGAAAAATGGCCATGTTTTAAACCAAAGGTTTATAATTGAACTCAAAGGAAAAGGAAAATTTGGTTTTTATTTTTATCATTTTAACTGAATATTTTTTATTTAGATGACAAAGCTCCTGTGACTGATACCAACATTCCTTCTCACCTGGAGCAGATGTTGGATATTCTAGTTCAAGAAGAAAATGAGAGGGAATCGGGAGAGACAGGGCCTTGTATGGAATATTTGCTACATCACAAGATCTTGGAGACATTGTACACACTAGGGAAAGCTGATGTAAGTACATCTCAGGCGGTGGGCAAGAGCCTCATCCTTTGAGGTACTTAGGACCTTCAGTCCCATTAGAATTATGTCAGTTGAGGATGGTCGACACCTGGCAGGATAAGACCCGTAAACTCTATGAAATCTTGCTGATGATCGTTTGTTTCACATTACCCAAGAATGTTGCTGGAGTTCCAAAGTAATATGAGCAAATGAGTGGTCATTCAAGTCAGCCAAAGTGAAGTAGTATGGTCCATTGGTTAGAGCACAGGACCTGGGAGATGGGAAACCTTGACTATGTGACCTTGAGCAAGAAGTGACTTTGGCTCTCTGCCTGAGTTTTCCCACCTGTATATGGGGATAATAATACTCACTCTCCTTTGTACAGCATTTTGCTTGGGTGACAAATGCTTTATTAAGTTTTGTTGTTTGTTTTTCTGAAAACAGTTGTGTAGATTACAGAAGCATGCTGTCCCTGATTTAGTGCTCTGAGCTGCAAAAGACATTCAAATTACCCTCCATAAAACAGTCTCTTGGGCACTGTGCTCTTTAGATAATTTAATAAAGCAGAGAGAGGTATGGGTGAGATTCCATATGGCATCTCAAGTCCTCTTTGCTCTGCTCCGGTGGTGCAAAGGGGATTTAAAGCTGCCTTAAGGCACCACCTCAGGTTTTCCCAAACTGTATTCCCACCTCTGTGGTCCCCTCCTCAGCACAGGGCGTGCGACCAGAGCACAAGGAGCTCTCGCAGTCCTGGCTGGTGGAACAGCCCCTTTGGGGATGTAGCATGAGATAAACCAGCCCTGAGTCTACTCTAATTTGTGCCAGTCTAGTTTGATGGCTTACAGCCCCCACAACTGGGAGGGGTGGGGGACCGAAAGGTGAGTAAAGCCACCTGTGCTCTATGCCCCATTCTGAGTCCTGCTATACTGCAATTGGCAGCTTGGCCCTATATATTAAAAAGCCTTTTCAACTTCGTAAAGTTCTGAATTGCATAGGACCAATATTTTGTTTTAACTGTAGAGAACTGGATGGCTCAGGACTATCAGTTAGATGGTGATAGCACATAATTAGTACTTTAATTAATGTTTGTACAGTTTCATCTTTTACATACTCTAGTCACCTTAGAGCCTTTCACATCTATGTCACTGGTAGAAATCTAGCCCAGGTCAGTAGTGACCACTTGGTGTTAAGTTTTCATGGCTATTCTGTGGCCTGTGTGAAGTTTCTTTTGGGACCTCAGTCCATTTCCCAGGAACAGGAAATGTCCTCAAAACTGCCACCGCCACTGTTGGTGCCATTCTTGGCAGCCTTATGTACTGAAAGGCCAAGGATTGACTGGTTCATGGAGACTCAGTTACTCTTTCATCCCTCATGGTAGTAACTTCATGTCACGGTGGAAGTCCATCAGTTGGGCAGTGTAAGAGCTTTCACTCCTGCTGCCTGTTCTGAGGATAAACAGAGCACTTCATTCTCCAGGGTTGTCAGTCTTGCACCTTTCACACATTCACTTGATGTTTCTTGTCTTATCTGGTTGGTTCTTATGTGTAAAGATAGTTTTCAGTTTCTCTGAGCCTGGGGGACAGCAATCTCTTCCTTCTGGGACCACCTTTCTCCCAATATTCCTATCAATGTGGCATCTGTCTTGCAGCCTGGTTAATGAGGTGCCATAATACATAACATGGCTGGGGTATTTAATTAGCAATGTATTTATTAGAAGTATAGTTGGTTTGATACAACTACAAACTCTGTGAGGAAAACATGATGCAGTTGAGCTGTGTGAAATGCAAAACTGGCAAAGTGCTTTTAAGAGTCAAGAGAAGTCATTACATTTACAAAAATATGTCTGCACAAGTGATTCTTGGACGGCATGTCATTTATACTTTACCATTTGTGAATTACCATTCATACTTTACCATGTGTGGACTAGTTGACCTTTTGAGGTCCCTTTCAGCCCCTACAGTTCTGTGATTCAGTACACCTGAAAGAAATACGTGGTTCAATGTGTGCAGGGTGTTGCAGTTAACTCCAGTTAGGGAATATTCTCACTTTGTTCTGACTATGGTATGTCTACACAGCAGCTGGGAGGAGTAATTCCCATCTTGGGTAGACAGACACATACTCAAACAGAGCTAGCACCCACAAATAGCAGTGTGGCCACAGCAGCTCATAGTAGCCATCTGAATACAATCCTGCCTGACCTCCTGTGTACATACTGAGGTGGCTAATCTAAGCTCCATGGCCACATTGCTGTTTTTAGGCGCTAGCTTGAACAGAGCTAGTGCATGTATGTCTAAACCCAAGCTGCAAATCACACCTCTCAGCTGTTATGTAGATTACAGGCATTTTTGTCCTGGAACAAACATTTGTGGAGTGTCCAGATTAGCATGTACAAGAGTGCTAGGTAATTCAAGCTAACTAGCAGTCAGTTAACTCAAATTTTAAAAAAATCCTCTCATGTAGACAAACCCTAAGTGGTGTGTTAAGTGTGATGATTTTACTTGCAGTAGAGCTGTACCTAAGTTGTATGATGTTGGGCTTCTGTAGTGGCATAAACTTTCCCACAACCCACTCTCTGTGTTCTGTTATACAACTCAGTTGGCTAGGCATAGGCTCTTAGATGTTAAAAATATCAAGTTTTGTGAAAATAAATATAAATTAAAAGCATGCATTCAATTAATGTAAAGGGTGTGGTTTTTTTAATAAAATAAAGCATGTATAGTTAGCAAGACCTAATATTTTCAGTTGTTTTGGATCAACTATTTAAATTGGTCTGTTTATTTATGATAAAGCTGTTCAAAAGGATGTTAATATTATTTCAATTTAATCTCAGCTGTTTTGGATGATCAGCTTGTATGTTGTTTATTTCATCGTTGTTCTATTTCTGTTGTGGTCTAGTGTCCTCCCGGAATGAAACAGCAAGTTTTGTCTTTCTATACCAAACTTCTAGGAAGAATTCGACAACCTCTTCTCCCACATATAAATGTATATAAACCAGTGCAGGTACGGTTCAAGTTTCAAACAAACATTTATTTGTGTATGACAGGCTTTTTGGATGTCAAATGTAATGGTTTCTCTCTTGTGTGGGGTTTCTGTCTGGGGTTTTTTGTTTTTAATCCCCCAGTGCAATAACAAATTACTGATTGGGACCTCTGAGTGTTACTGCAGTGCAAGCAGTAAATAATAATATCTCATTTATACCGGTGTAAATCTGGAGTAACTCTGTTGAAGTCAATGTACCTTAATGTCATCAGAGAATCTCTTTGAGAAGAGAATTCAGCCTAGAGTGCCTACCAATAGGCTACTGGGTTTCTTCCACTTTTAATTGTCTACTTTTTTTCCCCCCACCCACAGAAATTAATCAGACTTTGCGGTGAAGTTCTAACAGCACCAACAGAAAATGAAGAAATTCAGTTTCTCTGCATAGTATGTGCAAAGCTGAAACAGGATCCATACCTGGTCAACTTCTTTCTTGAGGTATGTTTACAAGTATATTTCAAAACTGGTATATTACAGTCAAAAAATTCCTGAGAAGCAGATTGGTGCTGCACTGGCTGCTTTCAATTAATTGAGTGTCATTTTCTTTAAAGTATTCAAGGGATTTTCTTTTATTTTTATTTTCTATTAGAGAAACAGTCTCATTCTTTTGTTCCCCATCTTCATTCAGAGCTCACATATTTTTCTGCTTGAAACCATGCCTAATGCAACCATTAGAGGGCACTCTCCAAATTAGAAAACCAGCATCTTAGGACTTGTCTACATTACCCGCAGGATTGCCGAGCAGGGGTCGATTTATCGTGTCTAGTGTAGACACGATAAATCGACCACCGAGTGCTCTCCCGTCGACTCCAGTACTCCACCGGAGCGAGAGGCGCAAGCAGAGTCGATGGGGGAGTGTCAGCTGTCGACTCACTGCAGTGAAGACACTACGGTGAGTAGATCTAAGTACGTCGACTGCTGAAGTTCACGTAGCTGAAGTTGCGTAACTTAGATCGATTTCCTCCCCTAGTGTCTACCAGGCCTTAGTCAGTGGGGAAGTAACAATGTCGTGAATGTAACATGGGAGCCCTGCATTCAGGAGTAAAATTGGACTTCTTGCTTTGTTCTTTGCCTCAGGTCATGGGAGAATAAGTGACTATCCCATGAGGCTTTGAATACACCTTGCAAAATGCTGAGGGCCTTGGGGGATTGGGCCCTTAGTTGGTAGTGATGCATGTGGTCTGGAATGCTAGCCTGAATAGCCACAGTGTTGACTGACATCAGAATTAGAAAGTTTAACAGCAGGAAGATTTGGAAACTTCAGGATACTACTGAATTTAAAAGAGAGTTCTAGGATCACTGAGTTTTGTCTTAGAGCTCAGGCCAAGCCTTAAGAGATTATTGGAAGCTCCAATGTTTCTAATCATAGTAGCCTATGGCAGTCCTCTTCACAACTTCTAGAGGAGAGTTATTTTCACACAGGACATTTTAGATTCATTTAATTGGAATGCAGAGTTTGTTGATTCTGCCAGTCCATGCCCCTAGCCTTTCAGAGGCTCTAATTTGTAACTTGATATCTGTCTCAGACCTTGGAAGACCTAAGAGGGTAAATTCCCAGTATGCCATCTGATACTTATCTTGCAAATTCCATTAACACAGACATAATTTATAGCTGAAACTCTGGTGCATCACTCCAAAACTGTACCTGCAGGTATATCTAAATATAGCATCTTGCTGGAAGTTTGTTTGTGGAGCTGTGCTGTATCTCGTCTACTTCTACAGTTGAAAAAAAACCCAGCAGGCACCTATTTGATTCTCTGTTTAAACTATCAGCTTTTTTTCAGTTGTTCTCTAGTGAATTAGTCATTCTATTACAGAAGTTTTCAGCTATATTGCTTAACAAGCATTAGGATCAGGGACTAATTGCATAGCTACATCTCTTGGGAAAATAAATTTGCTAGGTGAATGGCAGTTGAAGTAACCTTCTGTAAGCCATTTTTGAATCCTACTTAGATCTTGTGGCAGTGAGTTCCTCATGCTATATGTGTGTGGTGTAAAAGAGTTTCTTTTCATCAGCTTTAAATTAGTTACCACTTAATTTATTGAGTGTCCCCTTGTTTCTGTATTGAGAGGATACACAGAAATGGCTAATTTACCTTTTCTGTCTCATTCATTATTTTATAAACCTCTTACTCATTTCCTTTCTAAATAGTCCTTATCTTTGTAATCTCTTCTGATATGGAAGGTTTTCCATACTGTTGATCATTTCCACTTCCCTTCTCTGGAACTTTTCTATTTCTGCTGTATCTGTTTGGGTGGTGGTGGAGTGACCAAAATTGAATACAATATTCAAAGTAAGGCTCTACCATCGGTTTATAACATTACATTATATTTTCAGTATTCCCTACCCCTTTGGTTACTGCAAGCTAACAAGCTGTGAAGTCACTTAATGATAAAGTGAAGTTGCACCACTCTCAGCAGAATTTGACCCCCCAGTGTTTATCTATGTCATGAAAATGTACAAATGTATTTTTATATTGCCTACTCTCTACTGGGTTTTCTGATCAGGTCACTCAGAGGAGAGCTTTGTAGAAAGCATTGAATATGTATTTTATGTAACCTTTTTTATTAGGTGATTCAGGATCTTGTCCTCCACTCTTGCAGGAGGCAGGTGAGCAGCTAGACTGCAGAACTGCATGACTAGACACATGCAAACTTAAATATACACAAAAACTCTAAATGCATGTGTTCTGATGTACAGAGGCTGACATTACCTGCACCTATCAGAAATAACTGAGTTTGAACATAGCACATCACTCTAAGGGTTCACTTGTGGAATTCAAGCCTTCTCATACAGGGGTTATTGTTCTTGATACAGGCACTTCCCATTTATAGACAACAAGAAATAGATCCTAGGAAGTTCAGTAATTTCAGTTTTAAGGATAATGTACATTAACATACTGATTGCTTTGCATCCTTAGGCCTTTCGCAGTGTAAAAAAAAGACCTACTTGTAGAAAAGACAATTTTATGTTCTCTGAAATCATAATCTTTCCAACATACCCCCAAATCATACTTCTGTTGGACCATGAAATAGACTATAAATGTGATCCCTGGGTTACCTCCCCATGGACTTCAGTATATTCGTGCACAGTAGCAATGCAGAACAGTGTCTCCACAAAGAATGCACATCATCTAGGCAAGTGTTCAGAGAATTTTTGTAGTTTGCTGTCTGACTGTCGTGTATTTATTTCCTCCTGGTTTGTGTGTACTAAAAGCTGGTAACCCAACTGGTGACTCTTTTAAATGTTTAATGCTTGTGCAATATTTGAAATAACTGTGGCCTTATCATAAATGTCATAGGATCTATAATCTTATTACTGTGATCACTTGAAAAATTGGTCTTAAGATGAAGTCCAGTGTATGAGTCTAATACAGTATTTACTCATCTAGGTCTGTGCCAGAAAAACAGAGAATCCTTACCCCACAACCAATCTCTCACTCGGTCTTGTAGAACACTAATGTAAATATATCTTTTATTTGTACAAAACAGATTTATAGAAAGAAGGCTGGGTCACATTCTTTCAAGGTAACAAAGCAAATGTCCTACAACTCTCAAGAAAGTGTTGTATGAGTACTAGGTGTCCAGTGATAACTTGGTACCCACTCCTTCCCCTCTATGAAATCTACTAGATATCTTTAAAAAATACAAACAGAAAAAAAATATCACTTGAGAGTAGCTCACAAGTCTTAGAGAGGCTTTTTTTTCACTTTGAAGGCAAAATCTCTACAAGTGAAGAATCAATTTCATTTTCTGATTGGAATCGGAAATGGTGTTTCCATAGTCACAGAGATAAAATGGATTGAGGTCTTGACCTGAAAACCATGTGCTAATGTCAAAAGTTGCCTGCATAAAGTAAATGCGAAATTCATATTGGAGATTGGACTAATCAAATAGTATTCATTTCAGTTGTTTGATATAAAGAACAAGACCATCTCTTTTCATTTGTCTTGGACAAACTAACAGAGAAGCAGCCTTAAAATGGTTTGGTATAGAGTTTGGGAGAAATTTTGATAAAGTACAAAATGTGTTAAATTTAAATATTCAGATGCTTCTGCACCCATAATATACTACACAACTAATACATCTGACCTTGTAAAGAGCTACAGTAGAACCTCAGAGTTACGATCCCCAGAGTTACAAGCTGACCATTCAACCACACAGTTCATTTGGAACTGGAAGTATGCAATCAGGCAGCAGCAGAGACAAAAAGAAAAAAACTGAAATACAGTACAGCACTATGTTAAATGTAAAGTACTAAAACAATAAAGGGAAAGTTTAAAAAAAGATTTGACAAGGTAAGGAAACTGTCTCTGTGCTTTGTTTCATTTAAATTAAGATGGTTCAAAGCAGCATTTTCTTCTGAATAGTAAAGTTTCAAAGCTGTAAATTTTTGAAAGAACAATCATCATGTTTTGTTCAGAGTTATGAACATTTCGGAATTATGAACAGCCTCCATTCCCGAGGTGCTCGTAACTGAGGTTCTGCTGTACTTGATGTATGTGTTACATAAACCTTTATTTTCGTAAATTTCCGCTTTAGGGCAAACAGCATTTTGATCAGTATAATCTCCTGTCCTAATGTAATGCTTTTCAGAACAAGTTAAAAGCATTGGCTTCCAAAGGATCAGCAAGTGTAATTACAGAAGACATGCTAAAAGGCCAGGATTCGTTGGTGACAGACATTGGGCAGTCCGTTCAACCTGAAGAAATATCTAATGCTGCTGGAGCGGAGCAAGTAGAGAAGGAAGATGATCTATCCACAAGTCTGGATGAACTAAATGTCACTTCATCACCTGAGGCCTCAGCTATTCGTCTAAACCAAGACTATAATTTAGTGAATTCTTTGCTAAATCTCACAAAAAGCCCAGTGAGTCATTTTTCGATTCTACTCAGTGTGGTAAAATGAGTAAAGTGTTTTGGATGTTGCTGGAAGGGAGTCATTTACAATAGATATGCGTGTGTATATATATATCATTTAATGCTTAAGAAATCAGATAGCTTTTTTTGGTAGACCATTTCTTTTGCAAATTTCCAGGTGAAAACAAAACAAAAAATTCTAGAAAATGAATTGACTGCAATCTGATATTCATTGGGATCAACTAGTTTAAGGATGTTGTATGCTTCCAAAGCAAGTTGAGTGGTTTAATTATATCACAAAGGAATATGGAAAATGGAAGAAAGGGCTACTTTATATTGCATCAATTAAACCAAAATAATAAACCAAACACACTTTTTGTAAAAGCTTCAGTAGACCTGATTCTGTCTGTGAACTTGATTTCTTGTCAAAACAACCACTATGGGTCTGATTCAAGTCCTGCTGAATTCAAAGGGATCATTTAGAATTAACTTCAAGGGGAACTGGATAAGTAAGGCCCTGTTTACTGTAATGGTATCAAGAGCAGAAAACTTTACATACCCCATAGTTGTAAAGTGATGTTTTACATTAGATTAGGCCCAAGCCAGTGTATACTCTTTAGCACTGGTTATATAAACTTGAATGTTATGCTTACCATGTCAATAACCCTCTTCAAAAGAAAGATTCTAAAACAAATTTAGTAGAAATATCTGTTCTAATTTCTGAACACGGAACATCAAGAATCCACTCAGTCCCTTTTTGATTCTGTTTCAAAGATCCTTTGGTTTCTGGTGTTTGATTTCAAATAAATATCATTCCTGATTTATTTAACTCTTCCATGTCTATTTGACAGGATGGTCGAATAGCAGTAAAGGCATGTGAAGGCCTCATGCTCTTAGTGAGTTTGCCAGAGCCAGCAGCAGCCAAGTGCTTGACTCAGAGCACTTGCTTATGTGAATTGCTGACGGACAGGCTCACCACACTCTACAAAGCCCTGCCTCTGTCCGTGGATCCATTAGATATTGAATCGGTTGAAGCAATTAACTGGGGGTAAGAATATTGTTTCTGTTTTAAATATTTTAGATTACTTTGTACCACATACTGAAACTAAATTTCTGCCATTAGCTAAGACCTCTAGTACAGATAAGGCACCATGCAAGCAGTTTCATTAACAGAATCCAGATACAATATAGTAGTACTCTTAAGACTTGAGACATACGCTGCAGTGATTATTGAGTTATGGGCAGATTCGGCTGCCAGTCCATGCACAGTCAGTCATTTGAGAGCAGCTCTCCCATTGAATTAGATTAGAGATCTGTCTGTGGTATAACTGCAGAATCAGGCCTTGGATTATTTTCCTTTTTGAATGTCAAGGACATAGGAAATTAGTAGACAAACTTTTTGGTGCGTTCAGTGAGCACACGGATCCAAGAGAAATAGGAAGTATCTGTTTGATGAAGGACTGTTTTAACATTTTGGTAGTAAAAGTCAAGAGGGAAAATACAATTATTATATAACTCATCAACATGGGGCAAAAGATAGTAAGCCTGTTGTCCTAACTACTTGTACGTTAGACTCTAAAAATACTTTTTACTTTGGAATTTACTTCCCCATACCCTGCCCCAGCATACTGTCTTGGTCCCAGTACTTGATCGTGGTCTGTAAGTTTCTACACAGGAATGATATGTCTGATTTTAAAAAGTTCTTTAGCAGCTAAAGGTGATATAAGATCCAATGGCTGGAAATAGTAACTAAAAATCAAATTGAAAATAAGATGCAATTTTTAATAGGGTAATCCACTGTTAGAACAACTTACCAAGAGATGTGGTGAATCCATCATCACTTGGAGACTTCAGATTGAGATTGACTGTTTTTGAAAAAAATATGCTCTAGTTCATCCCCAAACTATGGAGTGGGCTTGGTAGTGTTCACTTACGTATTAGGGAAGAATAATCCCACTACCTCAGGAATGACTAGGTCAATTTCTATGGCCTCTGTTACTTGGGAGGTGAGATTAGGTGACCTTTCTGACTTAAAAACCTGTTAAAACATTCTAGGTCCATCCATGTAGAATTCTTCTGCTGGCCATACCAAGTATACTTTAGCATGCCGTTGAAATCAGTATACTGGTAATGATAGCACTGTGGAAGACCAGCAGGAAAACTGTTAATATTCCCTCTTTTCTCTCTAATTGCACTCCTGCTCCCATTAAAGCAGATGGAGAATGTTGCCATTGAATTCGGTGGGAGTAGTATTGGGCCCAGTGTTCTTTAAAGGTATCTAAACTAAATATATATATTTGCTCTTGTGTCCTCCAGTTTGGATTCATATAGCCACAAAGAAGATGCATCTGCTTTTCCAGGGAAAAGAGCCTTGATTTCATTTCTCTCCTGGTTTGACTACTGTGATCAACTTATTAAAGAAGCACAAAAGGTTTGAAATGTTTTCTGGAATAAATATGGGTAATCCAAAACTAGTTTGACAAATAATATTGTTCCACATCTCTTGAGTTTGAAAGGATAACATTTTGTGGCCTCTGTTTTAGACTACTGCTGTTGCTATGGCAAGATCTGTACGGGAACGATTTTTTGTTGGTGTCATGGAACCCCAGCTGATGCAAACGTGAGTAATCTCTTCGCATGTGGAACAGCTGGATAGAAAACAAGTTAAGTTGATATTTTCAGTTGGAATCCAGTAGCTAACATTTAACTTCTTGTTCAGTTCAGAGATTGGGATCCTTACATCAACAGCACTGTTGCATCGTATTGTCCGTCAAGTCACTTCAGATGTGTTGCTGCAAGAAATGGTTGGCTTTATACTTGGAGGACACAGAGAGCCAGAAACCCTGACAGATATCAACAGACATCCATTGCGATACAGGTTAATCGAGCACTGTGACCATATTTCTGATGAGGTGAGAAATCGTCATGTCAATGTGTCTAAAATGCTGCTCTGCTGTGAAAAGTGACTGCAAAAATGGCATTTTGAGGTCCCATCTTTATAGTGTGTCAGTCACTTCTAGCTGAGTTTTACAGGTAAAAAGATGGCGGGTGGGAGGGTTCTAACTGCCAGCCCTACAGAACTTCCCTTGGGAGGTGAAACTTGGTGTTGACTCTGACTAGAGCATCAGATTCTCTGTGCTGTATTTTAACATTATTTGCAGCTATGTATGTCCGTTTGGGGTTGCTTGTACACGTGTTACTGAGGATAGATTCTAGCCCTACATGGGGAGTTGAATTTATAGTTCTATTGATGATGCATCATCCCCTCTCTCCCTTAGTTGTGCTGGTTCTGGAATGCGGACAGATAAAAAGTAGTAAAAACATATTCTTGTCACTAAAGTCAGCAGATAGGACAGAGACTATACACTGTGCAAATGTGTTGACTAAGAAGGTGCTGTCATTCCTTTTATGCCCTGATCCTTAAGCTGTTCTATGTAGAGCCATTTTGAAATCACTTGACTGCAGTTTTCAGAGTAGCAGCCGTGTTAGTCTGTATTCGCAAAAAGAAAAGGAGGACTTGTGGCACCTTAGCGACTAACCAATTTATTTGAGCATAAGCTTTTGTGAGCTACAGCTCACTTCATCGGATGCGTAAAAGTGGAAAATGCAGTGAGGATGTTTTTATACACACAGACCATGAAAAAATGGGTGTTTATCACTTCAAAAGGTTTTCTCCCCCCACCCTACAATGGCCCACCTTGATTATCATAGACGTTGTAAGGAGAATGATCACTTTAGATAAGCTATTACCAGCAGGAGAGTGGGGTGGGGGGAGAAAACCTTTTGAAGTGATAAACACCCATTTTTTCATGGTCTGTGTGTATAAAAACATCCTCACTGCATTTTCCACTTTTACGCATCCAATGAAGTGAGCTGTAGCTCACGAAAGCTTATGCGCCAATAAATTGGTTAGTCTCTAAGGTGCCACAAGTACTCCTTTTCTTTTGACTGCAGTGAGGCTCCCACTTGGAACAGCTTGATGAGTCAGCCTTTTCAGAAGAGAGCCACACATCACAAATGCTTGTGTTTGTTAAAGTCCTGGCTTTGTGCTTTCTGTTTTACACCACCCCTTATGCTTAGAGCAGCCTCTCAATTTAAATACTCCAAGCCCCTGCCCTCTGCTTCAGAAAGACCTCCCAAACCTACCTGAGCTAAGAATCTGTGTCTTTATATGTCTATTTCACCTACCTACTTAAATGCAGCAGCCAATGCTTACAAACCAGGGCACCAAAAATTAGGCACTTAAATTTGTATTTAGGCATCTAAATGAATGAACTGAATATCAGACATACTGAACACCACTCAGATCCTACTGAAGTCAGTGGGAGATGCGGGTGCTCAGTATTGCTGAAAATCAGGCCACTTTTATTTAGGTGTCTAACTTCAGGCATCCTGGTTTGAAATTTTCAGCCTATAATTCCAGCCATAAAATCCCCATGGCACTTTGTGTCAATTCTGTATTGTATCCACTAGTGTTTTTAGGTCTTGATCCTATATCTGGGTCTACACAAGCGCAGGGGCCTGCCCATGTTGGTCTGGTTGTAGAATTAAAGTGTTCGATTGTAAGTTCTTTGGGTAGGGTTACTGTTAATTTGGCACAGTTCTCCTCTTTTACAGAACTGTGTCTATCTGATGCTTTAGAAAAGTTAAAGGTTGTCATGGATAAATGTGTATATTCTTTCTGACTTTTGTGTGGTCTCTTCATCTACATTAATAGATCACCCAGTATGATGATGATCCAGTCCTGATTAGGATATTTGAGTTCCTGACTAGGATATTTGAGTTTGGCTGTAATATGAAAGACTAATATTAAAGAACAATCTCCCTTCATGCATAAACACAGCTACTCTTAGTAAGCTAAGAACAGTGGTTTAAGGAAACACTGCTTGCATTTATTTTAATCCTTTATTTTTTTTTTTTTATGTTGCAGATCAGCATAATGACTTTAAGAATGTTTGAGCACCTTTTACAAAAACCTAATGAGCACATTCTTTACAACTTGGTTCTAAGAAATTTAGAAGAAAGAAACTACACAGAATATAAACCACCCTGTCAGGAAGATAAAGATGTGGTGGAGAATGGACAGATAGCAGGAGCAGTGTAAGTGTTTCTGTTGTATCGGTGAGGGACTTCACGATGGCTGAGTACACCTTTCACTTTTTATTTTTTAAAAAAATAGCTTTAAGACCAGTTTTTCTTCCTTTATCTAGTTGAAATAAAATTGAATGTGGATGACATTTAGTTGTCATCATTTGCCATTTGTGTTAACAGCATTGTAAAGTTTTAACCATAGTCAATGTAGATTAGTTGTTGCACAGTTTACTCCATGAGCAGCTCACGTATGTGATTAGAACAGTGATAGATGATTGTAAATTAGCAAACTTGTCTTTCTTACATAATAATACACACAGGTTCTGGTTTAGCAATTTGCATAGGCTTAACTTGAAGCACACAAGCAATTCCATTGACTTCAGTGGGGTTGCTAACATACTTATGGTTAGTCATATGCTTAAGTATCTTGCTGAATCAGGGCCACAGTATCTTTAAGCTTCATAGTTTTTCATGAAGCTTACAAACACCCTTTTGTGCTTGGTATATAAGCATTATCCCCTTTTTACAGGTGGGACGAGAGGGCGGGAAATCGGGTCAAAGAGATTAAGGCCCAGATCCTCAAAGGTGTTTAGGCTCCTAACTTTCATTGAAACCAATGGAAATTAGAACTAAATACCTTTGAGGATCTGGGCCTAAGTGATTTGATATGCAGAGGTATTCTGGCATCAGAGCCAGAACCGGAAGTTCCTGGCTCCAGCTCAGACCACTAGACTATGCCTCTCTCTCTTTTTTTAAGTTAGTCATCAATTTATAAATGTTGATACTGCATAATAATAATTCAGTGAAGTGGTATTGAAATTGTGATAGTCTAGAATGTGTGCTGGCTGGTCAGAGAAGAAAAATAGAGAATGTGCCTTTGATTCAGAAGGCTTCCTGCCTTCCCTAACATTCCGTGAATTATCTGGTGTCACTGTCTAATGTAAACTTACAGAGACCTGGAAGAAGATCCGTTATTTACTGATCTTTCTCCGGATAACACATTGTCGAATCAAGAGTGGCTAAGTGCTTCTCCTCCCATCAGCCCAGAACATCCAAAAAACGATGGGAAGACTGAAGTTCATAAAATTGTAAATAGGTGAGTTGAAAAAATAATTTTAAAAAGCTGTTTTGTGTGTGTAATTTAAATCAGGGATGTAGTTAGCATAGTGCTGATGTTCTGTGTAACTTGGAGGAATGATGCACCGGAAATAAACTGTTTCATTCAGTAGGCTATTCCATAACGGTTAGTGTTTTATAGAAAGAAAATAAAATAGTTCAACATAAACCAAAAGAGAACAGAAAACCTTTCCAGCCTGAGGTCCATCCTAGGTCTTTGGTCTCTGGAGAGGGTTCAGAGAAGAGCTGCAAGAATGATAAAAGGATTAGAAAACCTGCCTTATAGTGATAAGTTTAAGGAGCTCTATCTATGTCGCTTAACAAAGAAAAGGTTAAGATGTGACTTGATCAAATCTTAAGTACCTATACGGGAAACAAACATTTAATAATTGGCTCTTCAGTCTAATAAACAAAGGGATAACAAGATCCAATGGCTGGAAGTTGAAGCTAAACAAATTCAGACTGGAAATAAGATGTAAATGTATTATAATAAAGATTATTAACCATTGCAGTAATTTACCAAGGGTTGTGGTGGATTCTCCGTGACTGCCAATTTTTAAATCAAAATGTGTTTTTAAAAAGATATGCAGTAGTTCAAAAGAAGTTACTTTGGGGAAGTTATATGGCCTGTGTTATACAGGAGGCCAGACTAGATTATCACAGTGGTCCCTTCTGGCCTTGGAATCTATGAATCTGAGTGTAAAGCTATCCCTTCTCATTGATATTCATTCTGTTTGGCTTCATCTCTCAAGCAGCCTCTCTTACAGGGCTTGACCATAGTCCTTCCCCTGAGGGAAGGGGAGGGAGAAGCTGAGTTATAGGTAACCGATTGCTTACTGGGGACCATGTCACACCTCTGTCCCCTATAACATTTGGCTGTGCACACTGGACAGCAACATGTCCAAGAGGACAGACTCTCGGATCTAAACTCTTTAGTGATTGTAATTCTTCCAGTCATTAACATGAAAATTGGGGTTAGATGGTATTTGGTCAGTTAATACATATTAGCGAGGGAGCACTGGGTATTTTGGTGCTGACCTACCTACGTACCCAAAAATAATCAGTCGTGTGAGAGGCAAGAAACAGACTGAGACCAATGGATATGGAATTGAATACTTAGTTTTTCCCCCCATATACCGTTGCATCCAGTTAATGGTGGACATGGTTTGGAGCACAGACAAAAAGCAATCTGCTAAACTGCCCATTTATATTTTCATCAGCGGAATGGAAATTTTCCAGGTATTTGCAGTGCTTTGATGGAAGAATGAATTTTTTTTCATACATAATGAGATCCACATGGCAGATTTCAGGCTCCGGTATTCCTCTCTCCGTCCGTACACAGAACTCCCATTGGTGTCAGTGATAGTTCCATGATTGTAGGGAGAGCTGAACATTGGATACAAGATCTTTAAGCCACATTAAGCCACATTTTCTCTAACTCTCCAGAAATTGGGTAGTGAGAGCCACCATTTCCTGTTTGTGCTATATTCATGATAATTCTGTGACTGCCAAGGTGGTAGTTTTTGTATCACAATAAATGTCAGCAGTATTTGTAACAGGAACACGTTATTGCAAATCATGTAGATTCTTAACTGTTCTTTCATCACAGAAAACTGACAAACTGATGATTTATTAACTAAAAAAAATTAGTAATAACTTTTCACATGAAATCCCTTCTTTTATTTGATTTATTTGCCAGTAGACTTTCCATCTAACTCTGCTTTGAGCTGGATGTAGTCTGATCTTTAGCAAATCTTTGGAATTGGTTATGATTCTCCACTTCACTTTTGCCTCCCTGCTTTCAGAAGTCACTAGCCCTCTACTGGCTTCTTCACACTCAGTGCTAGATATTCAAACTCTTATGCCCACAATTCATTAGCACAGGCAGTAGTTAAATAGATAGATAGACATGTTTCAGTACGTTTCATAGCCCTTCTTCGTCACACAATGTTATTGGGTAACCCCCTCTGTCAACTGGAAGAGATGGGTCATTATTGTATCTACCACTCATGTATTGATAATGAAAAAATAGTGTCCTGCCATTGTGGGACTAGATTTATTTATTAATGTATTTTTGTTCCTTTTTAGCTTTCTCTGTCTAGTACCTGAAGAAGCCAAATCATCATACCATGTAGAGGGCACAGGTTATGATACCTATCTCAGAGACGCCCACAGACAAGTATGTCACACAACTATAGTCTTTTTCTTTTTCGTTTCTTCTTTTTTCCTCTTCATTAGCCAATGCTCTGGGTTTTGAATTGCTTGTGAGAATTTACAAGGGATTTGGGGACACGTACCGTTCTACTAAAAATATCTGAAGATAAGCTAGTAATGGGAAAGGTGAAAATTCAATTGCCTTGGACTAATCAGGAATTTACCTTTAGAGATTTTTAATTGAGTTCTGAATCCCCCTTACGCAGCTCTAATGGGAATTATAGATTATTTTAAATGCATTAATATTCCTGTAACAAACCTGCACCACAGATTGGTTCATAAATTGCCTTTGTATTTATCTGCATTCCTCTCCAGTAGAGGACTGCCTGGCAAGATCTTTGATAGAACTTAGTGGATGTTAAAATTCTGAAGAAGAGTTAACATCCTAGTGCTTTAAAATAATGGTTCAGTGAGACTATGCAGCCTAAGGCATGCAGGTTTGATGTTAAGAAATTGGTGGGAAGGGAAAGCTTTAATTTTGCATATTTTGAAATAACAAACATAGATTTTATTTCTAAAAACATGATCTAAAGTCTCCTTGGTCTGAAGACAATCAGCATTCGTTTGCTGCCTTTCTCATGAAGTCCTGTGACTCTCCTGTGATGGAACAGAATTGGGCATACAGGGTGCATGGGGGGGTGGGGGTAGAGTAACGAGAACAAAAATACATGCAGTGGTACTCTAAGGATTTCCTACTCTCTGAATTTTGATAAGCGCACATTCAAATAGAAAGCTTTGCTTTCTGTGCTTCCTTTATAGTTTTAGCCACAACAAGGGTTGGTCCTCGGGCCGGTTTTGTTCAATATCTTCATAAATGATCTGGAGGATGGTGTGGATTGCACCCTCAGCAAGTTTACAGATGACACTAAACTGGGAGGAGTGGTAGATACGCTGGAGGGTAGGGATAGGATACAGAAGGACCTAGACAAATTGGAGGATTGGGCCAAAAGAAATCTGATGAGGTTCAACAAGGACAAGTGCAGAGTCCTGCACTTTGGACGGAAGAATCCAATGCACTGCTACAGACTAGGGACCAAATGGCTCGGCAGCAGTTCTGCAGAAAAGGACCTAGGAGTTACAGTGGACGAGAAGCTGGATATGAGTCAACAGTGTGCCCTTGTTGCCAAGAAGGCTAACGGCATTTTGGGCTGTATAAATAGGGGCATTGCCAGCAGGTCAAGGGACGTGATCGTTCCCTTCTATTCGACATTGGTGAGGCCTCATCTGGAGTACTGTGTCCAGTTTTGGGCCCCACACTACAAGAAGGATGTGGAAAAATTGGAAGGAGTCCAGCGGAGGGCAACAAAAATGATTAGGGGACTGGAACACATGACTTATGAGGAGAGGCTGACGGAACTGGGATTGTATAGTCTGCGGAAGAGAAGACAGCTGCTTTCAACTACCTGAAAGGGGGTTCCAAAGAGGATGGATCTAGACTGTTCTCAGTAGTAGCTGATGACAGAACAAGGAGTAATGGTCTCAAGTTGCAGTGGGGGAGGTTTAGGTTGGATATTAGGAAAAACTTTTTCACTAGGAAGGTGGTGAAACACTGGAATGCGTTACCTAGGGAGGTGGTGGAATCTCCTTCCTTAGATATTTTTAAGGTCAGGCTTGACAAAGCCCTGGCTGGGATGATTTAGTTGGGGATTGGTCCTTCTTTGAGCAGGGGGTTGGACTAGATGACCTCCTGAGGTCCCTTCCAACCCTGATATTCTATGATTTCCTGAAAAGAGAGGAAAATGTGAAGGCAAAAATAGCAGGAACAGTAAAATTCTCATAATGTTCTAATTCTGGATGCAGGAAAGGGCATACTGTCATACATATTGGGGAAAGGAGGATTCTGGGAGCAGTTTGAAAGTAGGATTGGTTTCTGCCTCTTATTCTCAATGATATGCATGGTCTCAAATTATTCCACCCACAAAAACATAACCCTCCACATTGGTGCAGTTACACACAAACAGCTGCTCTGCCTCTTTGCATCTGTGCTTGGAAGCCCAGTGGAAGATGCACAAGTACCTATGCTGTGTGCACTGAAGAAGGATTCCTGGATCTGATTCTTCCCTCTCTGTCACCAGTTTAACTCCATTGACTTCAGTGGAGTTACTGATGGTTTAGGCGAATCACACCCAGTGTGTGTAAGTTACTGTGCCTGTCCAATTTGTGTCCCAAGCAAGTGGCTAGTTTAGTTCTCCATTTTCCCCTCTGGGTGCCTGTATAAGTCCCCCATAATGTTGCACACATCAAGAGGAAAATAAAGTGCTTGAATGAAGGCTGATAATAATTTTTGTCCTGGATGTTTTCAAAATGGGAATATTCTAAGAATAGGAGTTCTCAGATAGCTGCCATTGACACTCAAGTGGTGTAGTTATTAAAAGGAAATGGTTTCCACAGAGGTTTGTAGCTTCTTGCTTTTTTTTCCTCTTCAATTGTTTGAGTATGTATTGTTGACTCTTTCTTCCCAGTTCCGGGATTATTGTGCAATCTGTTTACGATGGGAATGGCCGGGGTCTCCCAAATCTTTGGAAAAGTGCAATTTAGAAGCATCGTTTTTTGAAGGACATTTCTTGAAAATTCTGTTTGACAGAATGGGCAGGATTCTCGATCAGGTATCAAAACACATTGTTATGACTTGTTTCTGATGCTTTTATCCCTGATAAATGACTAATCTCCACCTGGTCACATCAATACTCACTGCAGATGTTTAACATAGTAGTGCATTATTGTGCAACAAATTCTGTGTAGCTTGACTGCACTAACTAGTAGCTGTTAAGTTGTTGGTTTTTACTAATATTGGCAATCTTGTCAACATGCTGAGGGAGCATTATCTATCTTATCCTTGCTTTAGGGCTCTCTAGATTACTAAATACTGAAGTGATTGGCACTTTATCAATAGCAAGGGTAGATGACAACATTCTCACTTACACTGAACACCATAACTATCTGTAAAAAGAAAAGGAGTACTTGTGGCACCTTAGAGACTGGTGCCACAAGTACTCCTTTTCTTTTTGCGAATACAGACTAACACTGCTGCTACTCTGAAACCTATAATTATCTGTGTTAACTACCTGCTTTGTGTTCTAAATGGTTTCATGAATGATGCCCTCCACTGAATGTCATTGAAAGCTACAGATGATTCGTAGAGTAGAAATGTCACTACAGTATATGGAGGGCAACATGATACATAGGATCTCCTGTTGTCAAATTAACAAAAGCACAAGTCCTTCTTGCATGTTTGTCCTTCCAGGAGGAGTGTTATGAAGGAATAAAGGATAGAAGAACTTTTTAACTTCCTCTAATATTCCTTTTTGTTTTATAACTACATGGTCTTTGTATCAGTCTCATTTGTTCTATTTTGATTTTTCCAGCATTTATACATGGTATACAGGTAGCCATGTAAATTCTTCAGTATAAAGAATAATTTACAGTCTAGATCTTTACTATATAATATTGTTCTCAAAGCACTGTGCAGCAAATTAAAAGCCAAACTGTATTACTGTATCATCCCAGGCTTTCTCAGGGTTGGAATAAATATTCTCCTCTCACCAATGGTGCAAGGAAATTTCGAGAGGGTACTTTTTCCAAGCCCCCAACAGATCACTTTAAAAATAGGTCTCTCCACCATTTCGCTATGTACCAATGTTAAAAATGTAGTTATCAGGGGTGAACAAATTGGCTGTGAATTTAACGGGCTCATCTTGCTGAAAAAACACGAGTCTAATACATGAGGTCCAGATTAGTATAGTGGAATTTACAGAATATAATTCTGGGTAGAAGAGAAATCCTTTTTGGTTAACCCTATTTCACTTTTTCTATCTTAACACCCTTGGTCAACTACCAATCGCTCCCCCACCCCCCTTTTCTATTTATCTCTTCTCCTTTCTGCCTTTTTTCCCCCTTCTTTGTGGCTGCATCTTCACGAGAAAAAACAAGTTATGTTGAACTTGATATGCAGTAGCATATCACTGGCAATAACTAATTTGAGGTAAAATCCTAGTCAAAACTAGGCCGTTTATAGTTTGCACACAAGTTAGTGGGTCGATTTATGTGAAAACTATAAACGGTCTTATCTTCACTAGGATTTGAACACGAGTTAGTTAACTCCAGTTAGCTGCCTCCAGTTAGGAACACACCTTTTCCCCCTAGTTAAGACAAGGCCTGAAATCTAAATTATTCCCTCGGTAGTGCTATGTGGAATGCTTCATAGGTGGTGTTGCTGTAGATGCAATGAAACTATTTACAGGAGAAGCATGATATTAGAGAGGCAAGGTGGGTGAAGTAATATCACAGATAGTGTTCTAAGCGTGTGATACTAGTCAGTTCCCTCTGCAGCTAGCTGCAAGTGTAAAACTAGATGCTGCTGGTACCCGATTTCCTGTGATAGTGTACCACTTTTGGTCAGGGGCAGAAGTAGAGCAGATCAGGGATCATGGCAGAAGGGCAACAGTGCACAGCAGATCTGCCATGGGAGTGCTTTGAGAAAAATGGGGTGTGATGATAATTTGTAAAACCCAGAAGACTGAAAAAGAACGCTGAAACACTTTCATTGCTACACCACTCTATCTAGGGGGTTTTGTTGTTTTCAGTTCTGTCTACTCTGTCCAGATTGAGTATGCCAAGGATATGTTTTCAGCCTTCACATTGGTTTTCCTTGTTTTTTTTTTTAATTATTTTATAGATCAGGTTAGATACTTAATGCATTACTTAATACTGAATGTTTTCCATGTTAAATAGGGTTGGTATGAATCTCAAAGCAAGGAAACCTCTGTGTACATATATACCGTGAGCTGTTGAACTTTAATATTCCAGTCCTTTGACCTAGCTCACTGCAATTTGGGGGCTATGAGAAATTTTACATTTTGAAGGAAACAGGGAAATGTTCCTCTAGCATGTGGATTTTGTATCTGTCCAACCTCTTTTATCTGGATTAAGTTAAAGAACATTGTGTGCACTCCCAGTGTCTTGCTTCCAGTAAATATGTATTCTGTGCATTATTAACTAAAGCAATACTGGTTTTAAATAACAGATCTGAGTGTCATCTGCTTTTTGGAAAAGCTAATCTTATACATATGATAAAAAGAAAAGGAGTACTAGTGGCACCTTAGAGACTAACAAATTTATTTGAGCATAAGCTTTCGTGAGCTACAGCTCGCTTCATCGGATGCATTCAGTGGAAAATACAGGAGGAGGAGATTTATATACACACAGAACATGAAAAAATGGGTGTTATCAATTGTTACCAGCAATGCCCCTCTGTCATGTACATTGGTCAAACTGGACAGTCTCTACGTAAAAGAATAAATGGACACAAATCAGATGTAAAGAATTATAGTATTCATAAACCAGTCGGAGAACACTTCAGTCTCTCTGGTCACTCGATTACAGACCTAAAGGTCACAATATTACAACAAAAAGACTTCAAAAGCAGACTTCAACGAGAGACTGCTGAATTGGAATTAATTTGCAAACTGGATACAATTAACTTAGGCTTGAATAGAGACTGGGAGAGGATAGGTCATTACACAAAGTAAAACTATTTCCCCATGTTTATTCCTCCCCCCTCCCCCCACTGTTTCTCAGATGTTCCTGTTAACTGCTGGAAGTGGCCCACCTTGATTATCACTACAAAAGGTTTTCTCCCCCACCCCCGCTGGTAATGGCTCATCTTAAGTGATCACTCTCCTTACAGTGTATATGATAATACCCATTTTTTCATGTTCTGTGTGTATATAAATCTCATCACTGTATTTTCCACTGAATGCATCCGATGAAGTGAGCTGTAGCTCACGAAAGCTTACGCTCAAATAAATTGGTTAGTCTCTAAGGTGCCACTAGTACTCCTTTTCTTTTTGTGAATACAGACTAACACGGCTGCTACTCTGAAACCTATACATATGATAATCTTGTCTCAGTGATGAGACAAATTGTAGCAAATAAAGGGATCAGAATATATCCCTAAGGGATATCAGAGGAACAAATACCTACTATTGAAACAAAAATAGCATCTGTTACTGAAGCACAATGTCAATTTGATAGAGTACCTGTCAAATTGATGGCACAATTTCTGAGTTAGTCAGGCAAGATGTCACGGTCTGTGGTGTTAAAAACAATACTTGACTCCAAAAGAATTAAAACAAACTGCCTCAGTCAGCCAGCAAGAGTGAAATTGCTCAAGCTATTTCCTACCAAAAAGCCCACACTTTAAAGCTAAATTGAAACTTGCCCTGGGGATAATTCTAGTGAAGTGCTAATGTAACCCAGAAAAATGAAATGTTGGTTCTATCAAGTCAGATGAAAGTGACAAATTTGATGTGGTGTATGGTTATTTAAAGGTCCACATCAAATGACAAGTTTAGCAAAACACTCAGTTCTGCTTACAGATTTTGTTAGCCTTCCTTTAGGCTTTGTTATCATAATAAAGTAATTAATCCATAGCTTTTATATAGCACTTTTCATAAATCAATATCAAATTGCTTTACAAAGGAGGTAAATATTGTTCCAGGGGTAATTGCACCTGAATACCCTCTCCATGGTCCATTCCAGTAGCATCATGGCACGTCTCAGAACTCCAGCCATCACCCATCTCTGGGAAGGGAGCATGGTCCCATTCCCTTCTCACCCTGGTTTTTCATACTGTACAGTCCCTAGCTTAGACTCTGATATCCCCAGCAAGTGGTTCTGCCCAGTGGCCAGCACCTGTGCAGTGCTTTCTCTCCAAGGGCTATGAACAGTGTACCATGCAGCTCTTTCTCAGCAGAGTGCATTTATTTTTAAGATAAAAGCAATAAAACTCCCTACATGCTTACTAAAAGCTTATCAGTGGTCACCCCCAACTCCAACAATGGGCTCTGGGAAGTGTTGGTCTCTCCAACCCTTCAGCAAAGGCTGGGATCCCCCAAGGTCCTGTGAGTTTGTTGAATCAAAAGGAAGACCGCAAGTCAGTTAAAGATCATCGTTTTATATTAAAAGCCCTTTCATTGTTTCCTAGTCTCTTAGGGTATTTTCAAGGTGCAGCTGGGAGCGAGCCTCCCAGCCCAGGTAGACAGACTCGTGCTAGCAGGGCTTGAGGTTGCACACTAAAAATAGCAATGTGGACATGGCATCTTGGGTAGCAGCTCAGGCTCTCAACCCCACCTGACCCCCTAGACTTGAGAGTCCAAGCTCCAGGTCAGACTGCCATGTCCACACTGCTATTTTTAGTACTCTAGCTCAAGCTCTGTTTGCACAAGTTTGTCTATGCGCCTGGGGTATTGACTCACAGATGCAGTGTAGACGTACCCTGGAAAACCAAGCCCGAACCAGTATATGCAAACCACCTCAAGGGGTGCTGCTTTTTTGGAGTTGTCAGCCGTCCCAAGGGTAATTACCCCTTACTGCTTTTAGTTCCTGGAAGAACTATGGTACTCTTCCCCAAGGAGTAGAACACAATCATGTATAAACCATCTATAAATTTAATACAGTGGTCCCCAAAGGTACCGCATGGCATTGCAATATGTCACAAGGGTCATTATCTTCATTAAGGGATAAGGAAGTGACTTGCCCAAGGTTCTCCAAGCAGGCCAGTGGCAGAGCTAGTAGTAAAAGAGAATCCAGATTTCCTCAGTCCCAGTCCAGTGGACCACTCTGCAGCCCCTTGTTAGTAATATACAGTGTGCTTGCATGAAGCAAGCCTCTTTGCTTCTTAAAAGCTTATCTGGGCCTGTGTGTTCTTCCCTTCCTGCAGTTAGAAAGCTTTCTTTGCTGTGGAAATGGGTTGGATTGAGCTGCTTCTGGCAGGTATATCATAGAAGCAGTTCTCTGGTAGTCCCATTTGTTCCTGACACATTTAAAATTTCATTTAAAATATTACACTTGTAGCTCTTGTGGTTGTGAAAGAATCTTTCTGGCTCTTACTTCATGCAGCTGTCTTACTCATGCTGACAAGGAGACAGAAACAATAGCTCAGTGAGAAGAAACTGGCCCTTGGAATTCCAGCTAGTTCAAAACTCAGCAGTCTCTCTCTGTCTGAGCCGCCCAGCCTGCTGAGAGCACATCACCCCTGTGCTTCACTGTCTCCTCATTGAATACTGAGTCATATTCGAGGTTTCAGTCCTCTTCTCTTCCGAGTGCATGAGATTCACTGGCTCAGATGACCAAGGACTTCCCACAGCATCTCCATTCCTCTGTAGCAGTCAACCTCAAGAGGGGGATGCAGGCACTGGAAACTTGTGAGCTTTGACAGTAAGCTGGGCTCACACTGGAATTTGCTTCTTCAAGAAATCAGGGTGAACACAGAGCATGAACATTTGTGCCTTCAAAATGACATGTAAATCACACTAGGACTTGCCTCCAGATTATAATCATCCTAATACCTAGCTCTTACACAGCATTTCCTAAAGCTCTTTACAAAGGAAGGCAAGTACCAGTTTACTCATCTTACAGATGGAGGCTGATAGACTAACATAATTCCCACTGGCTAGGGTTGGAGAGAGAATAAAGAAGTTCTTCAACTAACCTGTAAGGTACTTGAACTCCCCTTTGAATGGCATGTGATAAAAACATAGGAGAGGTGTTAACTGCTCCATCACACTTCAGTGGGGTATTATCTCTGAAGTATAGTGATGACATTTAAAATGTCAGCATTAAGTATTCCACTGCCAATCATTTTAGAAAGATCATCCAACTGTTTTGAGATTTTGTGCTGAGTTAGAATATCACCACTCTCCCAATGCGATTCCTCTGTGGAGATGGTCACTAGCTGACGAATAAGCACCAGGAACAAATAAAAGCTGTAATGAAGATACAAGCTTCATGGAAATGGATTTGCTTTCTGGGCTGAGGGGATCCTCTTAAAGCTACCCATTGATTACATCCTTTTCCCTGAAAATCTTTCTTACCAAGGAAGGCTGGAGCTTCCTTTAGCAGTTGACAGCACTGCCTTTTGCCTTTGGTTAGGCTTTGTTTGGGTAAAAAGGTCACTAGAAAGCAGCACAAAATATTTCCTTCACGAGGGACTGGTCCTGCAGGTTTCCTAGACCCACATCCAAACCTTCTTCTCCACCTTGCAGTACTTGGTGGAGTCACTAGATGGCCTGGCTACCTGTGGGTGTTTTATCTAGTACAGAATAAAAGTGAAGGAAGATAAATACAGTACAAGCCGTAAACATGGTTTTGTATTTCACATTTTCCCGTCCCTGTCTTTCTAATGTGTGTGTCAGTGTAGTTAGTAATCATTGAGGAAAAGTGAACAGCACTTTTATCTTATTCTAGAGAGATTCTATTCTATTTCTTTATATAGATACTTCTTTAACAGCTATTCCCAAAGAATGGGGCATAAACTGTGTTCTCACCCAGGGATCCTGAAATTCTCAACCTAACTTAACCCAAGGCTGAGCTCAAACTACAAAGATTTTGGGCACTGATCCGGCATTGAAATCAATGGTGCTCCATCCGGGTGCAGCAATCCTCCAAATAATATTAATCATAAGACCTAAGCTCTTTTATAGCACTTTTCACCATTAGATCTTGCAGCTGTGTACAAAGTAGGGCAAGTATCATTGTCAGCATTTTACAGATGGAGGCTGAGGTAGAAAAATAATTCCCATTGCACACTTATTATTTTATTATTATTAATAATCATATGTATTGCATATAAAATCATCTCTCCCTTAAATTAGGAACGGGGCTATAGGTATGATAGCTGACTTGTGATTTCAGATTAGAACAAAACAAGTAGTTTGAGTGCTGCCTGAAAACAGAGATGACGGTGATTTTGAAGTATTATCTAAAATTCGGCTGAAAGACGCCCACAAGAATCCAAAATGCGGATAATGGCATGTATTTGTTGCAGGAGCTGTCCAAGATGCACATCTATATGTTAAACAAGTTTCAGAGAGAATTCTGAGACTTCAGACCGTATGTGTGTGGTTTTTAAAAAAAACAACAACCCAAAAACACCTCCTTCCAGAGAAGAGTATTTAAATCCATGAACATTGAATGGTATCCAGATATTTAAATTATATATGTGGGCGCGCGCACACACACTCTGAAACAGAATCTAAATCTGTTACTAAAGATGTAAATTAACCCAAAGTATTAGGCATCAATTTTGCAAGGTACAAAGTGCCCATACCTGCCATTGGCTTCAGTAGAAGCTGAGGGTGCTCAATACTTCCACAAGGTTGGCTCCCAAAACTGAGCTAGGAAAAGCCACCTAATTCACCACTAAACAGTCCTTCCTCGTATTAAGCTACAACCACACACCAGCATTAATTTTGCTGTAGCAAAACTCCTTTTTGCACCTGTAGGTTCCTTCTTCCTGGTTTTCATACAGTTGTATTCATTTTGATGGAATAAATGGGTTGAGAGAGATACCTGACCTGAAACTGTCCAACATTAAACAGTGTTAAACAAGATTTGGTATACAGATATCTCAGCCTGCTTAGTACCATGGCAAACACTCCATTAAACATCCTTTTAACCTTTTATTAATGGTGCAGCAAAGAGAGAAAATGCAGTTTTTGTCTCTGCTGTTGGCTCTCACTTGCAGTCTCACTGCTGGACAAACACAGGTCTAACACATGGTCTTATCAGTCACTGGGAGACCTGGCAAACTTGTATTGTATCAGCATAGATCTGTTTAGGGCATTGCTTTTAGCTGCCGCTTTCTGGTCATGGGCTTACAACATTGTTGCAAAATATGCGGTCTTGGCTGGCTGAGCCAGAGTCTTGTTAGACAGAAGGCAAAAGGAGAAGTGTGGGGAAGGAAAAGAAAACACTGGGGAGGGTGGGGCGTGACAAGGTCTCATGCCCCAGGTCGTATTCGGGATTGAGCTGGAGCAGGCAGCGATGTCATCTGGCTCCCTCTCTGGCTGAGTTTGGTCAGGATTAGGATGAAGATCCAGGCTCCCAGGAGATGGTGGGGATGGCAGCCATGATGGTGAAGCTTGCTCCAGTAGCTAGTTTTTTATCCCCGAAGTCTCTCTCTTGAACAGCAGCGAAGGGGAGTGATGAGTAGAATAGCCCATCCCCTTATTCTTTTGTCCACATATTAGACCTGATTCCTGCCACAACAATTTCGGTTCATTGATTTCTGATCTATCACTAGTTTTGTTTACCAAGTATTATCTTAATACAGTTCTTGAGTTATATCAAGAAGCCTTTTTGTTTGGTCTAATTGAATCTGTCTTGTTTTTGTACCTTTTCCCATCAGTATTTGTTGTTATAGATTATTGTGACATTTTATGAACTTTCACTCACTTTGTACAGTTGAGCTCACAATTAAGGTACATTTGTACAATTAGGGTACATCACAATACCCACTCTAGTTGTGACAGCAACAGCTACTATAAACAGCCTCTGTAATTGCTACCTCAGCATGTGCTTATTATTGTCTCCTGACTTTCCTGAGAATTCTCACTAACTGGGGGGCAGCTGGCCAACACTCGCACTCCGTATCATTCTGGCTGTGATCAGAGGTTTTCTGGTGGGTTTCTTGGCCACGTTGATGGTCTGATACACCGTTAATGCCAACAGTACTTCTGTAAGTGATAACTCCACAGCCATTCATTCTGGGTTTTTTCCCCACTGCAGCATGATGCTACCTTGGCGAATGTCGTGAGCTTTGTCCAAATATGAAATGTAAATATCAGCAAAGGCCTTGGCAGAGCTATACAGATCCCCATAGCAAATAAAAACAATGAAAAAAGGATTTTCAAGTGTGAAGTCACGCAATGAAAACACATGTAAACGTTGGCAATTATAGACTTTCTGTTCAATAGCAAAGAGCCTGAACAGTAGCCATTGCTGCCTGGTCACATTCCTACCTTGCTGGGTTTTTTTATTTAGAAATCTTTTTGACACTGATCATTTTGTTTATTATTGTGAGGAAAAATTTAGTATAGTTATTTATCTACCTGTCTTAGGTATCTACCTGTCTTTATATGGCTTCCATTACCATGTAATCTGTTGCTCAGTTTCTTCTGTTATGACACTTTATTAGTGATCAGATCTTGAGAGCATGTATATACTGCAGCTAGGGCGTAGCTACTTTGTCCATTACACTTCTGTAGCTAGCCTCATCTCCTGCATCTAAAACATTAGGTCATGATGCAGCTTGCAAGAGCAGGAAAGTCCAGGGCTGATACACCTCAGTTGTGTTGTGAGGCTGTTGTGGGGATGGGAGGATTTGGGTCTGACTTGATACCCAGGATTTAGAGGAAAGTAGCTGCATAAGCATGGGGTAGACAAAGAGGGAGTCATAATGAAAATAACAATGTCCTCTTGTCTGTTCGCAGCCATACGATGTAAATTTACAAGTTACATCAGTGTTGTCCAAACTCTCCCTGTTTCCCCATCCACACATCCATGAATACCTTTTGGATCCCTATGTAAATCTGGCTTCAGGCTGTCGATCTCTATTCTCCGTTATTGTCAGGGTGAGTATACGACCAACTAACATTTATATGTGGCTACAGTGGTGATAAACTTAATAGCTGTGTAATGAATGCTAAAGGAGGGTAATTTTGGCTTTAGTATGGCAACTGTCTGGTCTGTTGAAAGGAAAATACTTTTTTTTTAAAGCACTGAATATGGATTTTCATACCAAATAACACTGGAGAATACACTTTTCAGTAAATCCATTTACTCTCCATTGGTGTCTCTGAAATTGTTTTACTTGCCATGTTTGCTGAGTTTCAAAGATGTGGATGTAAAATGATTTCTTTCAAGGGTTTGCCCTTCATTCTGCAATAAAGTTGTTTTAATTCTGAATGGGTCCTGCTGGAATCATTGACATGGCAGTGTCCTGTAATGCCTTAAGTACAGGCATATGTCTGCACTAGAACTGGATTGTAAAAGAGCTGCTTTTATTGAGGCACAAGTCAATTACTCTCCTGAACATGCTGTGCTTTTGGATGGAATGCTGTAGCATATAGTCATCTGCCCTTCAAGCCTGATTCATTCATCCTGTCCTACTTGTAACCCTACTGCAGATCCGTGTCCACTATAAAATTACTGTATGTTCCTCAAGTCTCCCATCTCTCCCTCTGATCTCATCTCTCCCTCTAATACCGGGTATGATGAGGTCTGCCAACCACACACAAAATACAGGCAGGAACATGTTAAGAACCCTTCCTGCCTGCAGATCGCAAAACCAGCTCCACCGGGGATCCCCTGACAAATCTCAATTATGAAGAGACCTAGTCCCCAATGGCTGTAGCTAATCACTGCAAGCCCACATATAAAGAAAGAGGAACAGGATGAAAAGGAGCTGGGGCAGAAGAGCTTGAAACGTCCAGGGAGCAACGACTGTCTGCCAGAGGAGCTAGCACCAGGCTACTGCTGAGAGAGTTAGAACCCCCTGGAAGCACAAGGAAGGTAGATGGAGATAGAAGCCCTGAGAGCCAAGGGCTTTTTGACTTGTTTAGGTTACCGTTATGGCCTCTGGCTTGTTTTATTTGATTTGATTTAAGCCATTATTGCGTGGGTCAAACACCAATGTAAGCAGCTCGAACTGGAAGTCACCCCTTCTGCAGTCCCGAAAGCCAATAAGCTATTGGGTAGTTTCCTATGCCAATATTTAGGGAGCCAAATTCACCACTAGTATAACTGTGGAGTCAACAGAGTTCCACCCATTCATAGAGCAGCGAATTGGACCTACAGTTACCTGGGGCTACAGTTATTGGGACTTCAAGTCTCTGTTCATCAATTGTTCCCATATCTCTAAGTCCTACTTATGTTTTTAGTTCTTATGCACTAACACGGTCTAGTGACGAGGTTACAAATTGGTTTATGAGTCTGTACAACACAAAGGCACATGATTTTAGATTCAGAAATTCCCCAAGTTCAGTTCCTCCAACCAGCAGGGGCATTGTGTTATGTGAAGATGACTGTACTGTATCCAGGTGCTCCCTCATGGCCTCTGCAGTGCCCTGCCCCTCTTTCCCCTTATTCAGGGCTCTCTAAACAAAGTCAGAGCCCTTCTTGGGGTCTGGGTTTTTAATTAAGTTAACAAAGTTGCCAAAAACACATAAGAAATCTCTACCCACCCTTAAACTGGGCATAGCCCTTCCTCCTGGAAGGACTGTCCCTTCCTCAGGGACCACTTCAGGAGACCCTCTCTCCCTGCATGTTCACTCTGCAGTCCCCTTCTAGCTCTGCTCTTCCTTTGAGCTCTCTTTGCTGTCACTCACAGGCTTCATCTGGCTAGGCCTCTGAAGGAGCCAAACTTGCTCCTTGTAGCTGCTCCTCCCCACCAGTCCCAGGTCCACACAGTCTCCTCTTACCTGAGCTTTCTCAGGTTACTAACCAAGCTTCCTGCCTTGGGAAGTCTCAACTGTATAACCACCTGCAGCTTCCTGCTGCCTTTTTTATTGGAATCATTTGATTTCTCTCACCTGAGGCTAATCTTGTAATCAGCCCTGGCTAAGCCCCAGGCTCTCCAGCCCGGGGCAAGCTGCCCTGTTGCCATGACACTCCAAAATAACATGGTCTCTGCAATAATGAGCAGAGGGAATGCTGTAGATGTCTGGCAAACTAGATCAAGCTGAGTCTGAGGATTCAGTGGCAGAAAGATTCTGAATATACCTCACCCATGTTGGGCAGTTGTGAAGATGAATTAACAACCTTGTAAGTTGATCATTATTTGAACTCTCATTGGCTGTCTCTTTATTTGGCTCTCACTTCATATACTATGTTCATATTCTAGGGAGGTGGTAGAATTACCTAGGGAGGTGGTAGAATCTCCTTCCTTAGAGGTTTTTAAGGTCAGGCTTGACAGAGCCCTGGCTGGGATGATTTAACTGGGAATTGGTCCTGCTTTGAGCAGGGGGTTGGACTAGATGACCTTCTGGGGTCCCTTCCAACCCTGATATTCTATGATTCTATGATTCTACTACTACTTTGCCTCTGTGTGATTTACAGGTTGTTGGAGATCTTATGGTGAGAATCCAGCGCATACCGGATTTCACTCCCAAACTTCTGCTGGTCAGAAAGCGTCTGCTTGGATTGGAGCCTGAAGGGCCCATGTAAGTAAATAAATTGCAAATCCTCCACACAAACTGTTTTCGTGTGAGGCTTCTTCTTAGCGCCTGTTGTTTTTTCCTTTCCCAGTATTGACCACATGACATTACTGGAGGGTGTGATTGTACTGGAAGAGTTCTGTAAAGAGCTAGCAGCGATTGCATTTGTGAAATACCATGCCTCATCTACACCCTAAGCAGCCGCTTGAAGTGACTGGGCTACAAAATCGAGTGTTTCAGTCAAAGAAGACTATTGACTCCACCAGACAAGAAGGGAGAGAGCCTCCTAACAAAGTGTTGATATAATTTGACAGTTGTTATGGATGGCAGTGGAGGGTGAGTTCTTGGTCACTGTTCATGATTTCTTGGCACTCGCTGCACTCCGATGGAGATGTAATCAAATGGACATTGAACCCAGGATGCAATCAAAGGGACTTCAGGGCAGACAAAATATAACATTTCCAGTCACTGTTTGAAGAGCTGAAAAAAATGTCTGAAGACCACAAACTTCAGAACTTTGGTTACCAGGCCATTGTTTTAACAACATTTTAGGTGGTAAGGATTTTTGATATGCTCTGGGGCTCATATACTTCAATTGTCTTTTGTGATCGTTATTGCTTTTTAAAATATCAAGCTATTTCTCTAATGTTTTCATGTCATAAGCTTTTTCTGTTCAATTGAGAATATGAAAGGAAAAGAGTAAAGCAGCATGTGTAGTTACAAGTGATACCATCTAAAACATTGGAGAGAGGATTAAAAGACCTGCTAATACATATGTAGTATGATATGATCCATGTGGGATGAATTCTCCTTTTGTGAATCTTCTTATATTGTAGTGAATTCTGGGCTGGTGAATTCTGATTCATCACTGTGTTCCAGTTTTAGACTGGTGTAACTCCTTATATTAGTGAAATTATATTGCCATATGTTGGTGAATCAGGGCCTGTATGTAGACAACAATCAAATCCTAAGTATGCATGTTTCTAGTGCTGTGCTCTTTGTTTTTCCAAATGGTTTCTGCTGAGTTCAGCTGTGTAACTAGACTTGCCTTAGATTTTTGTATGGGAGCTCCAGTTTGTTTGATCCATGTCATCTTTACAAGGATGCTATTATACAGGTCATTAATAGTAGTTGCTAAAACCAGTATTTTTTTAAATGCTATTTAACATTGGTTTAAGAATATTTTGTGCCTTGAAAATTGGCAGTGAAAATGTTGTGTTGTTTTTCAAATGTTTTACTGCTTGTCTGAATGTAACCATAGTGTCCAGACGAAAGAGTGACTGATACCGTTTTGGGCAGCAGTATAAGGGATGATTCAATACTTAGGACCAAAATTCTCCACTGGTTTTCACAACACTGGGATGCAAAGATGTTCCCCAGTTCATTCTTTGCAACATGAATTCTACCAGCCAGAGCAGGAATTTCCATTGCAGGCCAAGGGGCATGTACGCTAGCGTACTGTGCTACTGTTCCTCCTGAATGACTTTAGCTAGCACTTGCTGCTGACAGCAGCATAAGCACTAGCAGGCTGGAAGGGCTGGATGTGCTCCTTAACCTTCCTATCACTCTTGGAGATCTCTGTATAGAGAACTGCCCGCCTGTTTACACAGGAGAATACCTTCATATTGACACAGTAGCACAGACAGACCAAGCAGGATTGAGCCCTTAATGTTCATATTCCGTTTCTTTGTCTTTTTTAATATCCTGTCGGACAGTGAGTGTAAGTTTCTGATCTCATTTCAGTGTAAATCTGGACTAATTTAATCTCAGTAGCATTCCTCCTGATTTCCATGAGCGTAACTGGGATCAGAATCTGGCCCTCCATGATTTTGATGTCTGTCTGTTTTTTTACGTTTATGGAATCTGGATTTTGAACAACTCCTGAAGTTACCAGGTGCCTTGTCCAACAAAATTGAACATGCTCACAGTTAATGGGCTAAATTCACCACTTATTCACAGCATAAACTCCAGTGGAGGGTCCTGCTGGTGAAAATTACAGGGCCACAGGCAGATAGAAGTGTGGAGTACCACTCCAAAAAAGGAAAAGCATTGCCCAAAAGTGGCTGTGGCCAGGGAGTAAGATGATTCACTAGCTCCCTACAGGTCCTCCCATCAACAGAGCTCTGGCACGTCAGCTAGAATGAAAGATATTCTCAAGAGTGGGTAGCGGTAGGAACCTGGGACTTAGCAGTCATATGCACCAGCTTTGCTGAATGTGCCCCAATAATGTTTTCATAACAAAATAGCTTAGTAAAATAGAGTTTAAGAAAGGGTACTTTCTCTTCATTCCCATTCTTTACATGGGTATTTGGAAAGTAGCAAGTGATTTTGTTTTCAGTGCAATGTGTACTACAACTGATCCATTTTGAGAAGCTTCATTAATATAATGTACCTGCCTGTACATACAGTATAAAAAAGTATGTATGTGTGTAGATTTATGTTTAGTGCATACATTTTTGATAATTTAGGCCCCGATTCTGCAAAGCGCTGAAGCGTGAGCATAAAGTTAAGTATCTACTTAAGATCCATTTAAAATGAGTATGAGTTAGGAAAACACTTGGAAGTTAAGCTAGTGTTTAAGTGTTGTGCTGAACAGCAGTGGAGTTATGCATGGTCTTAAATGCTTCGCTTCATCAGGCCTTTGTTGTTTTAGCTTGAGTTTAATTACACTTGCTGCAAAATTTAGTCCTGTTTTCATTATTTATTAAAGGAAAAAAAACCTCTGATATTTAGAATACTCCTAAAGTCCCATTCGCAATGTAAACTGTAGCAAACATAATGCTATGAAAAATGAGAGTGAGAAAAAACAAAATCCACATTAGAGCATTCCAAACAATATGATCGTTATAAATCCATGTAAGAGGTGCAGGATCTCAGATGGAGACATGAACGTCATTTAATTTTTTTAAGTCAGTTGCTGCTATTGGCGCTAATTACACAGTAAGGGATTGCATCAGTTCGTTCATGCAAGGATACCTGCAGAGTCTGTAGTTTTTAAATGCAAAAGGATTTACCTAGCTAGAAGCCCAATTATTTAATGCTTGAGTTGAACAATAAGATATCACTATAAATATTCTTAAATTCAAGATGTAATTGTCTAGCATTCAGTCTTCAGTGCATTTAGTAGCCATAATGATATTTCGCAAACCAAATACTATTCAGGCCACAAATTATAAAATGTTGATCCGTCTTGATAGTAAGTGAAGCAGTGCTCGGAAAAGCTTGAGCCCTTCTGGTTTGTATAGGTGCTGCTTACAATTATTACCATAAATTGTGACAGTGACTTTTATTTTTGTAAAAGCGATGAACTCTTTCTTAAGAGATGGAAATAGTTTAATTTTGTTTCTTGGTTTTCATGCACTTTTATTTTTAAAAGTAAAAATTAGTTCAGCTCCATATTTTTACTCATTGAATCTATGCATGTCATTGAGTTGACGTGTGTGTGTGTGTGTGTGTGTGTGTGTGTGTGGTTATTTATTACCCACAAGTGGACACCTGAGAAACATGGCCTGATACTCAGAAGTTCAGAGCACCCGCAAATCTTTCCAGTGTCAATGGGAACTGCAGGTGTTGATCACCTTTGAAAAATATGGCTAAGAGTATTATTTTGAAATATTTGAGGGGAAAATACGGGGATAATTTTGGTTAAGTAAGTAAATTCAAACTGCATTTTTACCCTGATGCACAGTTTTTGTAAATAAGGACACATTTTTATTTTTCTGCCATTTATTGTATGTATTGATTTAGACTCTGATGTAGAAACTTTTGTAATAAGCAACATGCTACATCTGCTAGAACAGAAGTTTGTCCTTAGTTTATTTCCATTATGATTGTAATCTTCCTAGTATTCAAATCTTGTCTGTGTAATGTTCGTATAATGTATTCATTCGTGCAATATGGGAGCTGTGATTTGATACACAGCTTCAGTCTGGTTGTACATCACCTATGTAGCTATAAGGACTGAAATCCTCAGCTTGCTTACACTATTGCTAGTGTAAAGATTGTTACACTTGATTTTACAGGGCACAAGTAATCATGGAATTGCTTTGTAAATACATGGTAATTTCTTACCATGCATTGCTGTATGAATACACAGTTACTATTCAATTATGAAGTACATCATTATTTGTCTTTAGAGAAATGTTACAATGAAGTACTATGTAAAATCTACAGTTGCATGGTATTTCAGGTTGTATGATAAATCCAAACATATATATGATATCATACAGGGCTTTCCAACCATGATGACAAATAATATTTTCTGTGCCCTGTAAAATAATTACTCTCTATATATACACTTTTTTGTTTTGCCTCCTGCCTTGTTTACATTAAACAGAGGATATTCAGTAAACTTTTTTATTGAACTTTATGTCGGTCACTGACTGACAGTGTTGCCAATGTTTAGCAGACATGGGATATGCAACAAAGGAACTGTTGAAACAGCCACACTTCTATAATTAAAGTACTAACTTTTACAAAGGAGGCGCTGATCAAATTCAATTTTTGTGCAAAAAATGCATGCAGGATTAAAAGGGATATTCTAAAAATAAATTAATTTCAATGAAGTGACTTATTTTTTCAGAATTCTAAATAAGTTTTGTATGTTTAGAGGAAGAAAATGGTAGAAAATCATTGAAGTGATGATGATGATCTTGCTTGTCTTTCATCCTGAAGGATTTTCAAGCATGTTACAAACTTTATATAATAATCATGGTGGCCACATCTGGGGTAGAACGTGTTGGATGTTGAAGAGAGTACACTACTGTTTAGGATACAAAATGAACCCACTCAAACTGGAGATAAAATAAGAAGACAAAATGTAATCACTCAGAACACAGGCTAGTACCCCCTACTCTTGAGAAAAGTCCCTTAGGATCTTTAAAGATTGCAAGTGGTCAGGACCCTGGTCTCATGCCACCCCAAAAGTACAATGTGGGTTTATTGATTCTGAAACACAAATGTCACCTACCTGAATCACTGCCATTGCTTCTTGAATCTTATGATTCCAGGCTTCCCCTGATGTATACTCGGGTGTGTTTGTTTTCTCCTTCCTCTGAAGTTTCAGTGAAGGCCATGGCTGGAAAAGGGACACCAAATGGGGTGGGCCTATGTTCTGAAGTGGTACAGAGAATAGTAATCTTTCTCAGATGCCTCGCTGGTGGGTCTTGCTCAGGGTAAAAATGATCAGTGTTTTTGGGGTCAAGAAGGAATTTTTCCCTACGGCATCTTGGCAGAGACCTTGGGGTTTTTTTTTTTTTTCCTCTGCAGTATGGGGCATGTGGCACCTACTAGGATCATCTGGGTATATCTCACCAAATAAATTCTCTGCCATTGCAACATCCTCCAACATCAGTTCACCTCAGTCCCTTCTGTTCTCGGCCTGTGACACACAAGAGTTTGATCTCCTGAGGGTTGTAATACTTCAGTATAATGCAGTTTGCTGACTCAATACAGGGGTAACTGGGTGGAGTTTAATGGTTGTGATATACAGGAGGCCAGACTAGATAATGTGATGGTCCCTTCTAGCCTTGAACACTGTGCTGTTAAGCTTGTCTGGCCACGTTTAGCTTCTCAGATCTAACAAAATCACAACCTGAGTTGGTTTGTGGTACACATCTCCACGCTAATGTATGTGGCATTCTGTGGTTGAAAGAGGCGCTTGCTTTGCTTTATTTTCTTTGTCAGATGCTTTCCCTTGAAAACTCCTTCTGTTTTAGTCGCACTGCTGTTGCTTTGACGTCCTCAAAACATTCCATTGCAATCCTGCATCTCAATATCAGACTGATGTATTGAGGCTTCCTAGTTTTGATGAACTATGAACTAGTCTTCTGCTTCAAGACTTTGAGGCTTTGCGTACTCTTTTTTAAAGTCACAGTAGCCCACCCAAGTGCGGCCTCTACTATAATGATATTAACCTGTTTCATGGAATCTGATTAAAACTCAGTACGGGTATAGTTAATGCAGGACCTATTGGATTTGTTAACCTTTTAACACATTCAGTGCTAGTGGTGTCAAAGCCTCAAGGAGTTTGGCTGATTTGAAATGTGAAGCAAGTGGGTGAAGGTAGATTAATCTTCAGAGCATTGAGTCTGACACAATTTGTATGTGTCCTTTGGGCCTAGAACTATGTGCTGCTGATGCATCTTTTTCCTGCTGAAGCTTTTTGTGTGAAGGATGACTACTTGGAACAGGAAAGCTGAAGTGCAATTCAGAAATCAAGTGAAGCATATGGTGGATTAGAACCTTCAGGTGTCCTAAGCGTCTGGGGAGTCTCAAAAGGAAGGAAACTGTGAAAAGCTGACTGTTACAAGTTTGGACAGATCCCTGGCCCTGCCTTCGGAGTCAGAGATCTGTAAGGTGCAGCTAACTGAAATCTTACAGCTTGCCGTCTATCCAGGTGGCATGGCCCATTCCCACTGTCCTTGGCAGGATGGTTTTTGTGTTATGTGGCTGATGTGTTTTTTTAAACTGTGTTTCATGGAATTGTTGCTCATTATTTACAAAAAATGCTGCTGACTGTATAAAATTCAATATACTACTATAGAATAACAGTTATGACATTGGGTATTTTTAATGGCTCATAACTTTCATTACATGTGGTCTCATCTTGCTGCTTCTGCCTTTCTGCTCCATGGCATCATAATTAAATATGTTTTTTTCCCCTGGTGTAATACACTTTCAAAGTGAAAAACATTAAAACTCCTGGAAACAACAAGATGTGGCCCCTACCAAAGTACTGTATAACAGTGTGTCACCCTGTAAAAAAATATAGAGCTAGTCTGCTGACTCACGCTGGTAGCCAGATGAGATGGATCTCATTACCATCAAACAGCTCTGAGCAATAGAAGAAAGGGAAGAAGATCCTTCAGAGTGCCCCAAATCAGCCCACTTTGGAGTTAAGGCTTATATTTGTAAGTACAATTCTGTCTTAGAAAATTTGTTACATTAATAATTTAAAGGCAAACTCCAGGAATGTCTCTGGGGTGTGGGGAGAGATGGAGTGTGTTTCAAGTGGGTGGGGCTCTCAGCAGTCTACATTATCTCAATCCCCAGTTCACCAGAATGAAACAGCACAAAATTCAGGTCTTCCTTATACATGGTAATTCATAAATGTCTATGCCAAAATAGAACAGGGCTGAGAAGAGCAATAAAAAACAGGAGGCTGGATTGATTGATTTGAGAGGATGTGTTAAATATATTTAGCCTGGCTAAATGATGACTACAGCGCACGGTGCATATAAATCTTCAAATAGGTGAAGGTTTAAACACCAAGAATAAAATTGTCTAGCATAATGTAAAGGAGTTTAACAAGGAGTAACAGGATGACATTAATGAAAATTGAGACTCAATATCAGTAAAATCTTCCTGACAGTGAGATCTGTTAGCCTGTGGAACAGTCTTCCCAAGTAGAGTGGTAGAAATCCCATCACTTGACACATTTTAAAATCGGACTGGACAAAGTGCTATTAAATGTACAACAGAAATCCAGCCTGCATTGGCAGGGAAATGAACTAAACCAGTCTTACATCTCAAGATTCCAAGCTAATTATGGGTTCCCGGATAACTTAAATTGGTTCTGCCAGAATGCGGGGGCTGGATTCTTCTGCTTGAAAAATCTCTCGTAAACCAAACAGTTCTCTGTAATCCGAGTAAAGTAAATTCTAGTCCCGTAGATGAGAGCCATGTGAGTAATAACCTCATTCCAAAAGTTGCACCCTCCACAGATAGCGGGGTGGGTTATTGCCTGATTAGCCTTGCCAAGGAGTCCTTCATGCTGCGATGCATTACAGGAGAGAAACAAATAACCCAACTCCTGAAACTTCATTATCCTTTTCTTGAGAAAACCCATTGCTACATCCCTGTATCCACAGGAAGCCCCTGTCACGTTTGTATTTCTTAATTTGAGTTTATTTTCTAGGTCATGAATTTTTTACTTCCTGGGGTTTTCAAAGACGGCCACTTTCACTGTTAGCAGAATGTCCATCAATACGGTCCATAGCTTCAGTTTTCCTCTAACCTTCCTGTAAAAGTATGAGAAACTTTTCTAACTTTTATCTTCCTGTCTTCTGAGACACCCTTCCTGTTCCCTTGCCTTTTTAATAGAGTTGGCACCTCCAAGACTCAGGAGGGGATCCCTTGAGGGCTGAGGTAAGGGTTTTTTTCTATTGCCCCCTCCCTTCTGATGAGCCTTAGGTCTGTCCTGCTTCCTAGTACTGGCAGGAGCCACACAGTAATTACAAGATCACTGTGTGGCTGCGTGTGCACGCAGTTTATGAGGAATGTTGGTCCAAAGTGAAAAAAACCCAGCATATTAAATCTTTTCACTGGCAATGCAGTACAAAAACCAGCCAGGCCTGGTAAAAATCAGCCAGGTGACAACCCTGCTTATTAAATCCATCTCTTCAAATTTCTCAGAACATCTTTTCTCCTTTTCGACTACCACAATCAGCTGTGAGTTCAACTTAGTAAAGCAGTGAGCTGATGGACAATATATACCAGAAAAGGGCCTGATGCAGTAATCTGATCCATGCCTGTGGACCTTGGGGCCTGCATACAGAGTCCTAGGCTCTGCCCACAGAGATCCAATTGCAGGCCTAAAGTCCTATCCACAGAAGTGAAGCTGGCTTGGATTCTGGGGTGAAATCCTGGCTATAATGAAGTCAATGGGCGTTTCCAACTCATTTCGTAGCTTTAGGTAGCGTTTCAACTTTCTGACAAGGAACAACTTGCAGAAATGATGTAGGAGGAAATAAATGAGGTGGCAGAAAAGCGCCACCCATGACCTTAAAACAATCTGTGAACAGAAATTGGCCTGGGAGGCTTTAATCTTTTTTTTTTTTTTTTTTTTTTTAATTCTTTATGATGGCGGGGAAGAAGTTGATATTGTCTAGGTTTGGGGTTTTGTTTTGTTTTTCATGGAAGTTTTTTAGTCTGCTTGTTTTACACTTGGAATAGAGGTCTTGTTTTTCCTGGAACACAGTGCGACGGGCTGACTGAACTAGTAGCATTATGATATCACAGTGGGCACAGAAGTGAAATCTGAATAACTGAGAAGAGAGAGGATTTTTAGCCAGACTGTTCAAAACTTCGAGTTTGGGGGTTTTTTTGGTAGGTTTGCTTTGTTTGTTTGTTTTTTAAGTAACACCTATTTAACTCAAACACCGGACAAACATTGTTAAAGATTCAGTCACCTGCACCTGTTCTAGGTCTTGTCCACCTAGGGACATTTTTTCAGTATAAACTAAGTTGTGAAGTTAAACTGATAGTAATACAGGTTGTGATGGGGTGTGCTCCCCACACTGGCCCTGCAAGAGCTGAATTGGGCCAGGTGGGCCCAATCAGCTAATTAGGCTGCAAACAAGGGAGCCTTAGGAGGCAGCTAATTAGAGGGAAGCTCACCTCTGCAGGAGCAGAGGGGGCCTATATAAACTAGGACGTTTACAATAGAAGAGGCTGCTAAGAAAGGTTGCAGTTACTCTCTGGGAAGAGGGAGTTCTCTGGTATACCCAGAGAAAGGGGAGGAACCAGACGAGTAGGAAGCAGTCCAGGGAAGGAGCAGTGAGGACCAGTACTGCTGGGTTGAGGGTCCCTGGATTGGAACCTGGAGTAGACGGCGGGCCCATATTCCCTTACCAGCACGAGGGCATGGCATAAACAGATGAAGCAGTGAACAGGAAGACCTCCTGGGTTACTAAGGGAGTCAGAGAATTGAAGGACTGAACCCCAGAAGGGAGGAAACACTAAACAGCATAGAGAGAAGGCTGTGTGTGAAGAGGACAGCTGCAGCTCCTGAGAGTGAGAGAGGGGCTGCAGAGGAGAAACTGTCGGGATGTAACTGCCGCAAGGGACGTAGGCCTGACCCAACTAATCCCCAGAACCGTCAGGAGGCAGCATTGTCCCAGTGGTGAGTAGAGCGACCTGTGACACAGGTATAACCCCCTTCTGGACACTCATATACTGAAATAACCATGTCTGCATATGTGATTATACCTGTATAACTATATCAGTATAGCTGGTAAAACTGTCTTGGGTAGACAAGGCCTTACAACAAGGACAGAGAGAGCTCCCATTTCACTGCTGTGGCCCTCAATCAAAATCTGGAAAAATAATAATAGTGATACTCTGTAATTCATCTGTTTAAATCTTTAGCCCTTTGGGGTAAGGACTGTCTCTCACTGTGTATGTACAGTGCTGATTGCAGGGGGGTCCTGATCGCATTTGGGGTTACTTTAATAACAAAAAATAAATCATAATAAGACTTGGTATTTCCAAGGTAATAAACATAGTAAAACAAAATGTTCTAGACCTTATTTTTACATCCTAACAAATTAAAAAGGGGCACAAACCGAATGTTCTTTTCCTTTTGCAGTTCATTTTTTAACTCATGATACCAATTTGGTCTGCTCACCCTCTTATTGTGAAACTTCTAAAAGAGGCTGTGTTCTTGTTTTTTAATGCATCAACCAACTCAAATAATATACTTTAAGTATTCCTTTAATAAAAACAATACAAACCCTTACAAGATTAAATGTGATCTGGTCACCTCGTCAGAAAGTACCTTAGTTTCAAAACCACTTGCTGAAAATTATTAAATTCCTGAAGTGAAGTTTGACAAGCAGAGTTCTGGCTGGTTCTTTAAGAAGGATAAGCTGTAACATCGGTATTTATATAATGCATTTCTGTGCTGGTGGAGACAGAAAGCAAAAATTGATCATCAGAGGTTGCTTTAGACTACAGTATAATTGACATTGATTCACTGAGATCTGAACAGCTATAACATAAATCTGATATTTATCCAGTAAATCACTATTTGTTTATCTTAATTTCATTTTGGGGAAGCAAAGAATGGTGGGAACTGTAACTAATATGATACTAATTCTAGTCAGAGTCCTCAGTAATTGACACGATTAAAACCTTTCATAAGTTTACTCAGTGCCCATATGCCTTTCCATTATTAGATTCTTGCTGATTGGTCACTGTGTCTTGTTCTGTTCTCCATTTAACTCCTTTTTAATCACCTTTATTATTGTCCTTGCATGACAGTGATATAGTATGCATGGGTCCCAACAGAGCCCTTCTGTTTTGTGTCAAGAATGCTGACTTCTTGGGTTTGTGTTCTTGAGTAACTTAAGTGTTTAACTCTTGGTTTTAGGACTGGACAACTTCGACAATTTATACAATCTGTAGCAAGTGATGTAGCAACATCTAGTGATCAGCTCTCATACTTCAGGGTTTGAGATGATGGGGGTTCAGAAAGGAATTATTTATCATTAGGTATGTGCATTATGGATTTTTCACCTTCCTTGGGTACCTGCAGCATCCGGTGCTGCCTGCTGCCACATATGACAGCAGACCAATAGTTTTATAAGGATTTATTTGTGTTATGAACCTAGGGCTAGCAGCTGCTGATGTACTAGTAATGGTCAGGTGCCGTACAGAAGATCCTGTAATTAGTTTCCAGTGACAAAGTAGCAACAACCCTACTCTTAAAGGAATCTCTACAGTCAGACGATGGTGATGTCCTGGTCTCTAACATGTTACCTAAATGAGTACCGCCCTTTGTCAATGTGAATCATGGGAAAAGCAATAGATGACTTTTTAATCTGTCCACTTAACTCTTCATACACCTGCCTATATCTGATTGCTTCAGAGGCATCTTGACTTCCAGCTCATGACTGTTTTCTACAGAAGCTTTTCATACTGATGAACTGAACATCTGTGTTCATGAGACATTATCAGGGACTTCACAGAGCTCTCACTAGGCTCCATGGCGGGACTGAATGGTCTTGGACAGCAAACTACCCTCAGATCCCTAGATATGCTCTATCTAAGAATGGCCATAGTGGGTTAGATCAATGGTTCATCTAGCCCCGTGTCCTGTCTTCTGACAGTGGCCAGTGCTAGAGGCTTCAGAGGGAATGAACAGGGCAGTTTATTGAATGATCCATCCCCTCTTATCCACTACCAGCTTCTGGCAGTCAGAGGTTTAGGAAAACCCAGAGCATGGGGTTGTGTTCATGGCCATCTTGGCTAATAGCCTTTGATGGACCTGTCCTTGGCATGGGGCTAGAAGATGCCCCTTAAGCTATTCCTGTGCAAGGACTGCAGGATCTGGTCCAAAAGCAAACACCACTGGAACCAGGCACGGGGATGTGTAGGGGGAAGGTAGGGACTATCATTCTTTAACACTTATATTGCAGCACCCTCTAAAGGCTTTGACCAGATTGGGCCCCATTGTGTAAGGTAGTGTACAAACCTTGACAGTGACCATCCCTGCTCCAAAGAGCTTATGACCTACAAAAATAGCACAGGGTCGTATCCTGCGGTCCTTACTCAAGCAGCCTCCCTTGCCTTGATGTGACTTCAGCTCAGTAAGGACCTTAAGGTGTGACCCCCACGTGACTAGATTCCAAACATTTTAAACACACATTTCACTCAGATCCTCACCATTACATGCTCCACTCGCCACCCAATAGCTGTTAACTTCCCCTATAAGTTTTGATTTTACCAGACTATCCTCTTCTTTGTTTTGGGATCCCCCCACCAAGCTACAAGGGGTCACTGTTCCGGTGACCAACACGCCAAGAACAATAGTCATTCCTAAGGAGCTAGCGAGAAGGTGGGAAACAAAGAGCCTGTTCGTGGGAAGCTGAAGAAGAGCTCAAAAGCTTGTCCCTTCCACCAACAGAAGTTGGTCCCTCACCTTCCTTGTCTCTCTACTGGTAACCACGATTAGTAGGGCCCAACCAAATTCACAGCCATGAGACACACGTCACAGACCATGAAATCTAGTCTCTGCCTGTGAAATCTGATCTTTTGTGTGCTTTTACCCTATACTATACAGCTGAGACCAGCATTTCTCAAATTGGAGGCCTTGACCCAAAAGGGAGTTGGGGGGGCTGGGGTTAACGGTATTGCCACCCTTACTTCTGCACTGCTGCCTTCAGAGCTGGGCAGCCAGAGAGCATCAGCTGCGGGCCGGGCCCAGCTCTGCAGGAAGCAGCGCAGAAGTAAGGGTGGCAATACCATACCCTGCCCTCCTTACTTCTGCGCTGCTGCTGGCGACGGCTCTGCCTTCAGAGCTGGTCCCCCAGCCAGCAGCCACCGCGCTCCAGCTGTCTAGCTCTGAAGGCAGCACCGCCGCCTGCCGTAGCGCAGAAGTACCACATCCCCCCTAAAATAACCTTGTGACCCCCCCAACAACTCCTTTTTGGGTCAGGACCCCTACAATTACAACACCGTGACATTTCAGCTATAAATGTCATGATTTGAGCTATTTAAGATTTTTAAAATCCTATGACCATGAAATGGACCATGAATTTGATGGGACTCTAGTTATAAGTTACCCACACAGCACTTCCCATGCAAGCTTTTACCTTTATTCTTAAATTAAAAAGCATTACAGAGAAAACATGAAAAATAAAAGAAGCTACATTCATACAATGAGTTTACCAGAGTTCACCCCAACCCTAACAGATTCTGTCAGGAGCAGTCCCTCAAACCCCCAACTGAAGGGGGATTCCTTGTGGTTACAAGTTGATCACACATTCAGCTCAGAACAAGCACACTCATAACATAACTCATGAAGTCTGCTCTTTATACGGTTCAGGGGTCTTTGCTCTGGAGTTTCCAGAAGCAGGTAATTGGTAGACAATGGTTTGTCCTCTCAGGGGGTAGCCTGAAAAATGAGGATTTCAAGTGGGTCATTTGTATTTCTCAGGCACTTACTAGGAAATCCATGTCACAGTTATTGTTCCAAAAAGTTCTTTGAAGTTCCTAATACCTTCCAGGTATTGCATTGGTCTCCCAGAGAAGGTACATAAAGTACATACAATTCCACAACAACACATACACAATTGCATTTTTAATACAGTGGCCACCAAAAATGTTAAACTTAATTCAATAGTGTTCATTCAGGATATTGCAGGATCCTGTCAGTCTGTCATAGCAGGGTATAAGTGCTAATGTGCCATTTACTGTTATAAAACACCTTGTCAGCTAACTTCCACATATCCATGCATAATACTGCTTGCTGAAAACAGTTTATTTGTAATGAAACAACAAGGTGCACACTGGGCCTAATTTTATAGCTGAAAACCAGTTTGGTGATAGAGAGGTTTTGCAGCCCTTGACTGACAACTAGCGGCATTTGCTTTTATTAGGATGTGACACGGCAGAATTACAAGCAGGGCTTTGCTAGTGCAATGTAAATACTTGCTTTCCCCGCTGAAATGTATTACTCACTCTGATCTGTCCATGCCTGATGGCCAGGGAGGCAGGCACTGTGGGAGTGAATAAGAGGCTCTTGCAATCTGACCTCCAAGGATAAATAACAGCGGCTTAGCCTTTTGCACTGACACATTACTCTAAAATATTTATGCCTGAGCATTCAGAATCACTTAGCCCTGTGGTCTACCTTCTTGGTCCCTGCCAGACAACGTCCCTAATTCAATGGCACAAAACAAAGTAAAAAGGCTACATTAGGGGACGGTATTTTTACTGCCCCCTGAGCAATCTTAAGTGGGAGGGGGAAAGAGCGTAATTGTACAGCCAGCCAGCTAGGAGACCCAGAGACTTGCAGCTGCACCCCATTGTTCTGGGCAATAGAACAAGCATGAGGTTGGGTTCCACTGTAACTGCAGCAGGCTTTAGCCCTGTTTATTTTTAGATAGGAGACTTTTTTAAAAAAAAAAGCAGTCCCTGATGTCAAATTCTCTGGTTGGTCATTTTCACAAAAGCTACATGAGATTCTCTCTCCTCTTGCCTGCTTTCAATGAGGACAGCAGGCAGTCGCTCTGTTGGCAACCGCAGCAGAATCGAATCGTACTGCAGCAACAGAACAAAAGGCGCAGGACTCGGTGCAAGAAGCAGAAAGTAGGTTAACAATGAAAGGTATGAATGGGAGCAATTATTTCTTCCCATCATGGAAATGGGGTGTTACAGCATCTTTCTTTGGGAACATGTACATTCACTTCTTGTTTCTCTTAATATATCATAGAACACAATGCTCCTTTGCCTCATTTTACTGAATACTTTGACTTTTTAAAACACTTCCCTTTGGTGGCTCAGTTGGTAGCATACTAAGATTTCCAAAGTCACCAGAATTCAGAACTGACCTTGGGATTTGTCCCCTCCCACTCTGGCAGAGGCTAAGGACACAGGCAGGTGTTTGCAGCTGCTGGGTAGTGAGGGAGAAGATGAGATTTCAAAGAAAGTAGATATTTTCAGTGAAGTAAGATGGGGTTTGGAGGCTAAAATGAGCCCTCCCTTGCTTAAAATAAGGTAGGAAGAGAGGACAAAAGACCAGCAAAGTTAGGCATGGAAAATGCCAGTAAAGATCATAAGATCCATGTACCTACCAGTCACTGCTGGAGTCCCTCAGTAGTTGAACTGATAATACAGGAAACATGACCGTAAACAAAATTTCCAAGAAAAGGGGTGGGGGTTTTTTTTGGTTATTTTATTTAACTAGGCCCAAAACCTGACTGCACCGAAGACAGAGCTTTGCCATTGACTTTAGTGCTACCAGGACTTGAGCTTTAAATACTTTTAATTCAAAACCAAAATAAAAATAAAAACACAATACCTTGCACTATGTTGACTCTAAATTTGGGCTCTGGCAGGTTGCGGGTATTTTTCCTTTTGGAATCTATCCTAACAGCTGGATAGCTCCTCTTCTTGAGT